CCCTTCTCCGAGACAGAGAAGGCACAGATCGTGCGGATCAGTAGGCGACATTTTAGATCTGCACTGAGAGCACTTGCGGAAAGCCGCATGCTGTGCCATCGAGGATGAAAAGGAGAAGATAGCAAAACTATACACACACACACACACACACACACACACACATATCTGGAAAATAGGAAAGGGGATGAGAAGAAAACAGGGAGGGTAAAAACTTGGAATCTTAACAAGCTAAGAGAAACAATGGTAAGGTAACTGGATAAACGTGTAGTACACGGCAGTCGCAAGAAGACTGATGAAATGGCAGGCACTCTGCCTTCTTATACTGTAGGGGGGGAGGGGTGCGGAGTTCCCACCAAAACTGTTAAGCTTTAAATCTTTCCGGCCACAGGCACTGCACAGGCACAGCACCCATATGTGTGATGCACAGAGGCCACAACGCAGAACTAACAGGGACACATTCCTCATGTACAGTTTCTGGAAGAGATTGTCCACCAAGACAACCTGAGCAGTCTCTGTCTCATAATCAGCCTGAAACCAGATTGCAATGAACCTAAATAATGCACCTCATCCAGAAATCCCTGGAACTGAGAATCCACCACGTGATCCAAAATCTTGCCCAAGAATGAAATACCAGAAAACAACCAGACATTGTACAATACAGTGGCATCCTGGACTAAAACAAAACAACAGTTGTACTGCTGTCTCTTTTGGGCAAAACAGAATCACACCTTGTTGTAAAGAGGGGTTCAGCACTACTCTTAGATGATTACGGTGCAATACTATGTTCTCTGCCTTCAATGCACATAAGTCTCATAACTCAAAAGGCTTATGTACATCCAATGCAAGATGTGAGACATGGCAACAGCAATCTTTGCTACCTTGCACTTCATCAGATAATAATTTTCAACTGAGATTAAACTTGTGAAGAGGGAAGAAAGGAGGCTGAGATTCCACATGGCTATGGCATAAGCTGTTGAATCCAGACTTTTGTGCACCCCAGTCCCTGGCATACCCTTGTTCCTCCACTTCGAAGCTGATTTCCAACCTCAGAGAGGGAGCTGGCACAGTTCTTTCTGTGCCAGCTGCAAGGGGGATGGAAAGCAGCTTCATACTTGGAGTCCTGCCTCCATGGTCCCAGAAGTTTGGAGCTGGGAACTCCAACTAATTTTATTGTCCCACCCTTTATTCACAGTTTCAACCTTTTAACCCATTAGGGCTTGGATCCAGACTTTGTCACATGTAGAACAGAGATATGTTTTGTTTGTATATGCACAGTAACAATTTTATTTTATGGTAAACAATTCTGAGAATATAACTGAAAAACTTCCTAATGTGCATGTAATGAATTATAAATAAATCAGTATTTTGAGCATGTTATGAACGTAATTAACACATCTATGTTCCTCAAATTATTCAAAACAGAAAAATCCTTGTTTTGCAGATGGCATCTACCCCTGAAAATTATGGAGAATACAAACTCAACTGAATGAGATTCAAATCTATAAAGAAAAGTGATTATTTTCAAATTGGAAATGGATTGTTTATATCATTTTACAGAACTCTGTTTTGTTTTGAGGATAAAACTCCTTTGGGGAAAAAGTCCTAGAGGCCAGATACCAGGTGTTGGTGTGTCTGAAGCCAAAAATGGTCAGAACAAGAGCTGACAATGGCCATATTCTTGCTGCCACCCCTATTCTCTCTCATTGCCACCTGCTTCTCCCCTGTAGCACACAGGGAAGGAAGAATTCTCCATTTCCTTTTCAGATGCTTGCTATTCAGCAATTAGACACAGAATGGAATCCTATGTGCTTCCTCTTCTCCTTACGTTTCTTAGAAGGAGAGTGAGAAGAGTGCTTTCCCTTGGGATCAACAATGTCCCCTTCGGATGGGTGAGAGGGAGTGCAAAGGAGTGCTTCAAAGGAGCCGCAGAGGAGCCAAAATCCACTGAGACCTGTTTCATAGCCACTAGGACTTGGTCTTGTAACATTTTGCGCAGCCGATTTTCTCGGTTTTTCTCAGCCTGCCTGGTGAAAGATTGGCAGTGGCTGCACTTATTGGTCCTATGCCTCTCTCCTAGGCAGAGGAGAGAGAGCGAGTATGGATCAGAAGGAGACATTTTAGCTCCACACTGAGCGCACTTGCGAAAAGTGGCCCACTGTGTCATCAAGAAAGAAGAAAAGTATAGTGGTAAGGTAAGACGATGGGGGGGGTGTTTTTTTGGAAAGGGGTTGGGGGGGAACGTACAAAGATTATGAAAAGGGGTTCAGTAAGGGAATGAACAACTGGGTAAAGGGAATGTTCAAGAAGGGTATGAAGCGAAAAAGTTAGAAGTTTAGAAGTAATTGAAGAAGTTGTTGTTGTTGTTGTTAGTTGCGAAGTCGTGTCCAACCCATCGCAACCCCATGGACAACATTCCTTCAGGCCTTCCTGTCCTCCACCATCCCCCGGAGGCCACTTAAGCTCACACCAACTGCTTCAGGGACTCCATCTAGCCACCTCATTCTCTGCCATCCACTTCTTCTTTTGCCATCAATTGTTCCCAGCATTAGGCTCTTCTCCAGGGAGTCCTTCCTTCTCATTAGGTGGCCAAACTATTTGAGTTTCATCTTCAGTATCTGGCCTTCTAAAGAGCAGTCAGGGTTGATCTCCTCTAGGACTGACTGGTTTGATTGCCTTGTGGTCCAAGGGACTCGCAGGAGTCTCCTGCAGCACCACAATTCAAAGGCCTCAATCCTTTGGCGCTCAGCCTTCCTTATGGTCCAGCTTTCACAGCCATACATTGCAACTGGGAAAACCATAGCCTTGACTATACGCACTTTTGTTGGCAGGGTGATGTCTCTGCTTTTTAGTATGCTGTCTAGATTTGCCATAGCTTCCTTCTCCAGGAGCGTCTTTTAATTTCTTGGCTGCAGTCCCTGTCTGCGGTGATCTTGGAGCCCAGGAAAATAAAATCTGTCACTACCTCCATTTCTTCCCAATCTTTTTGCCAGGAAGTGAGAGGACTGGATGCCATGATCTTAGTTTTCTTAATGCTGAGTTTCAAGCCAACTTTTGTGCTCTCCTCCTTCACCCGCATCAAGAGGCTCTTTAGTTTCTCTTCACTTTCTGTTGGTAGAATGGTGTCATCTGTGTATCTTGTTGATATTTCTCCCAGCAATCTTAATTCCAACTTGTGATTCATCTAGCCTCGCCTTTCTCATGATGTGCTCTGCATATAAGTTAAATAGGCAGGGTGACAGCATACTGCCTTGCCGAACTCTTTTCTCAATTTTGAACCAATCAGTGGGTCTGTGTCCAGTTCGCACTGTTGCTTCTTGACCCGCATATAGGTTTCTCAAGAGACAAACAAGATGGTCTGGTACTCCCATCTCTTTAAGAACTTGCCACAATTTGTTGTGCCACACAATCAAAGGCTTTAGCATAGTCAATGAAGCAGAAGTAGATGTTTTTCTGGAACTCCCTAGCTTTCTTCATGATCCAGCGTATGTCGGCAATTTGATCTCTAGTTCCTCTGCCTCTTCGAAATCCTGCCTGTACTTCTGGTAGTTCTCGGTGCACATACTGCTGGAGCCTAGCTTGTAGGATTTTGAGCATCACTTTGCTAGCATGTGAAATGAGTGCAATGGTGCGGTAGTTTGAACATTCTTTGGCATTGTCCTTCTTTGGGATCAGAATGTAAACTGACCTTTTCCAATCCTGTGGCCACTGTTGAGTTTTCTGAATTTGCTGGCATATTGAGTGTAGCACTTTTACTGCATCGTCTTTTAAGATTTTGAATAGCTCAGCTGGAATACTGTCACCTCCACTAGCTTTGTTGTTGCTCAGATCCTCTAAGGCCTATTTGACTTCACATTCCAGGATGTCTGGCTTGAGATCAGTGACCACCCCATCGTGGTTATCAGGGATGTTAAGCTCTTTCTCGTATAGTTCTTCTGTGTAATCTTGCCACCTCTTCTTAATCTCTTCTGCCTCTGTTAGGTCCCTGCCATTTTGGTCCTTTATCATGCCCATCTTTGCATGAAATGCTCCCTTCATATCTCCAATTTTCTTGAAGAGATCTCTGGTCCTCCCTATTCTATTGTTTTCTTCTATTTCTTTGCACTGTTCATTTAAGAAGGTTTTTTATCTCTTCTAGCTATTCTCTGGAATTCTGCATTCAATTGGGTGTATCTCTTTCTCCCTTGCCTTTCGCTTCCCTTCTTTCCTCAGCTATTTGTAAAGCTTCCTCAGACAGCTATTTTGCTTTCTTGCATTTCTTTTTCTTTGGGATGGCTTCAGTTGCTACCTCTTGTACAATGTTGTGAACCTCTGTCCATAGTTCTTCAGGCACTCTGTCTATCAGATCTAATTCCTTTAATCTATTTGTCACCTATACTGTATATTCATCAGGAATATGATTTAGGTCATATCTGAGTGGCCAAGTGCTTTTCCCTACTTTCTTCAATTTAAGCCTAATTTTTGCAACCGGAAGCTCATGATTGAAGAAGTAAAGTATTGCAAAACTGACGAGGAGATAATCAAAAAGGCCCAAGGCATGGTGAACGGTGGTCACAAGCAGACTGGTGAAGGGGCGGGCACTCCACTCATTTATACTATAGGGGAGGGGAGTGCAGAGTTCCTACCAAAACCGTTAAAGCTCTTAAATCTTCCCAGCAAGACACTGTGCAGTTGCAACATCCATATATGTGTGGTGCACGGAGACCACGATGGAGAAACTTAATTGCTATACAGGGATTGAGCTGAGGAGGGGAAGCCTTGGGCGTCCTGTATGACCCACAGGACGGCAGTTCCCCATCCTGGAATAGCATATAGAAACTATAACCTTCCAGAAAATGTGCATGAAATGCAATCCTAAGCATTTATAGATCCTCAAAAAATAAAAGGGACACAGAAATACCTCAGAAGTTATTGGCAATATACATAAACATATATTTTTCCATGCATATGTTCATCAAAATATTGGGCTGGCAAAATTAGCAGATCTGTGTACTTTCACTTACCTTGTTTTTATTTCCATATTCTGCAAATGGTTTCACATTTAATGGTGGAGTCAAGGATAGAGAATTAGATTTTTGTAGGCAGATATCAGATTTCTCTTTAAATATGGAGAAACTAAAACAGGAAACAGAACCCAAATGATTAAAAGCTTAGAAATAAAAAAAACTTTTAACTGTGACAAGTTCCTGGTATTACAAGGTACAAGTTTTGAGCATTTTAATTTTAAACAGATAAACACACATTCTGGTTAGTTGTAGAAAACATGTATGTTGCTGCCATTTACTGCAGAGGACTTATTCACAGGACCCACTAGTCAAGACCTGGTTCTTATGGATTACAGCATATGTTAGTTTTCCGCTCGGCCAGAGGTGAGGTAGGTGAATTCTGGCTATGCCATCTACATGATAGGCCTCATGGTAATGGCATACATATATTCCAAGTACCTTTTTCTCCATGAATACTGAGACCCTGTTCTAAAGCATAGTACCAGGATTGCAGAATCATTCTACACAAATGCACTTCTTTCAATCATCATTATCTATTAAAAGCTTATGTGCCCATGCATTAAGCAAAAATAGCACCTAATAGGTACATTCCAAACTTGAATATATAGGAATGTGAATTTTGTTCCTATGCTTAGGAAATTTAACAAATTTTGTTGGTTACAGAAACTATTTTAGGAGACTGACAGGATTAGCACTCACTGGACCAGTAAGAAGTGTCTTCAGCTCTGCTGATCATATGCCAGGCTCCTACTGAAACATTTCCTATTCAAATAATTCAAATAATAACGTTGTGAAGGATAAACTCAAATCAGTGGAAGCATTTGACAGAGGGCTGGCAATCAGTGTCCTTTGTTATATAGCTGGATAGAAGGTAGCTAACAGCAGAGGTAGTGGTAGCACCTTCAAGACCAGGAAGCAGTCTGAAATAGCACAAAATCAATCAAGTAAGGACAAGTCTCACACCATGAGGTGTCTTCCAGTTGTTTCCATTTCAAATGAAGGCATACAGGTGAATGAAAAGCCTTGGCTAGCTGGTGCAATGATAGCCAAGAGAATTCAGAATTCTCACTGAAGTGCAGTTCTCAACCATTGTCTTGGGGTCAGAGATCAGAAATATGCATTCTTCAGTCTGCCAACTGTTCTCCTTTGTACTGTGGTTTGAATGGACCAGAAGATTGCTGAACATCTACATCATACTTCTTTATTCTGAGGTCACTCAGGTGTACAGTGTTATATGCTGATAAAAGCATCCACAAAATCAAACTCCATACGCAGCAGAGTCTGTTTCTTTCCTCCCAGAATTAACAAGGTCTAAACATTGCTACCACCGGCTGAATTTGGAAAAGGTTAGTTTCTAATTGGAGGAAACCATGTTTCTAGTATGAATCTGACTAAGCATTACAATTACATTCAGAAGCCTTGCTCTGTGGCCTGTGCAGGCAGACAAGACAGGGCCTTTTTTGGTAATGGCATCTAACTGTATAATTAAACTCTGTAATGAGTTTTGCCAGGCTTCTTCCTTTTGATGTTTATGTGGACTCTAAGACACTAACAGCAATCTATCTCAGCAAGTCTTTGAGTTTGATGGTTGCTGCTTTTGCTTCTTTCAAGTGATTTACATGTTTTGGATCAGTTATGTTAGTTTTATCCATGTTTTCATTGGGATACTTTATTGATATTTAGACATCTACAGTTTATGGTGGAGTTTTAACCAGAGGGCAAATATAAATAAAAGTAGGAATACATATGTCAAACCAAATTAAACAACTATATTTCAAGATACAGCATTTAAAAGTTTGAGTTGTTCTACTGTTCTAATAAAGGAACTCAAGAAACTGCCCTTTAATGAGTCAGAGCATTGTTTAATCTAACTCAGTATTGTCAGCACTGACTGAGAGCAACTTCAGGTTTCAGAGAAAAGTTTTTTCCCCACCCTACCTAAAGATGAAGCGAGGACCTTCGGCATGCAAACTCTTAGTTCTACCACTGAGCTATGGCCCTAGTAATTAGCATTATTTTATTTATTTATTTATTTATTAAAACATTTTTATGCCGCCCCATTCGCCGAAGCCTCGGGGCAGCTCACAACAATAAATAAAAGTAATTATAATACAAATTACAATAAATATAAACTGCAAGCTGATTTAAATGTCAGGCACATCCTAATATCTATCTCATAGAGCTTATGTATGACTGACACCACATACATGTACCTTTTCAAAAGTGCATCAGATGGTTTCCTCTGCATGGTTTGGTCACAAGTTTTACTATTTCCTGAATTCTGGACGCATGCATTTATAACTCCTAGGTGAAAAGATACTAAACATTAAAAATACAAAACATTTTGTACATAGAATCCAAATATAGCTTTAATATGACTGACAAATCCATACAGGTTTTAGTATTAGACCGGATTACTGTAACACGCTCTACGTGGGGCTGCCCTTTAAGACAGTCTGGATACTTCAGTTGGTTCAGAATAGAGCTGCAAGGATGTTAACAGGTACCGGCAGTTATTCACATATCATGCCAGTCCTCTACCAGTTACACTGGCTGCCAATTGAAGTCTGGGCCCAATTTAAGGTGCTGGTGATGACCTATAAAGCCCTAAATGGCTTGGGTCCTGGTTACCTGAAGGAGCACCTTCTTCCCTATGTGCCCTCCCACCCCTTGAGATCTGAGGCAGAGGCCCTTCTTCAGGAGCCCTCCTTGAAAGAGGTTAGGAGGGTGGCTACCCAGAGGACGGCCTTCTCTGTGGTGGCACCCCAACTGTGAAACCTGCTCCCCAGAGAGGTTTGCCTGGTGCCAATGTTTTTTTCTTTTCGGCGCCAGGTGAAAACCTTTTTATTTTCCCACTATTTTAATGTTGGTTTTCACTGGGATTTTTATCTCGACTTGCTGGATGCTGTGTTTGTTTTATTTTATTTGCTCCTTATTGTAAAAGCCATCCCAAGAAGTCAGTGGTGGACACGGTACAAAAGTTTTAAATAAATAAATATTTGAAGCAAAAGTGTATCAATATAATGGTTGGGAAAATAGGTATAAAATGGTTGAATATAAATTGCTTATTTAATTAAATACATTTTATTAAAAAGGACTACTCTTGCTAGTTTATATGCATATGTTTCAGCAAACCTCCAGTTTCATAAATTCTTAAATATATACCTGTGTACTGTTATTCATTTTGATAAGTGAGCAATCTACTGTGCATTTTAGAAACTACTTTCGTGCTTTTGCCCCTCCCCATGTGAACCACTTTTTAATGCTTCATTAATAATCACTGGGTTTTTAGGATTATTTCGCACATGCTGATACTATGGGTTCTGCAGTCAATAAACCTGGTTGTTTATACTGGAAATGATTGCTTTACCTGCATTTTTCAGTTGCTTTACCTGAATTCTTAGTTTTCTCTGTATCAGAAATAAAAGTGCTGGTATGTATTAAGCTCCCATCATTATAATCATCCCAAACCTCATTTCCTAATTCAAAGCTCACATTCAAAGATTCTGAAAATAGAGAGTGGCTTTTATCTGTATCAGTCAAGTTGCCTGTTAAAGATTCTCCAAGATTTTTGTTTGAAATCATTGTCCGACAGCATTTTTCTTTTAAAGTTGCAGACTGTTTGCTAACAAAGAAACCTACAATTGAGCATAATGGTAATAACAGTGAAATAGCAGCATCATTTTTACAATAGTATTCTTTTTTTAAAAAAATCTCTAAGGAATTTGTTTAATTTATACTAGAAGGCAAATGTTGTGTCTTCAGTACTATCAAACATTTGTAACAGAAAGAATTATCATTCTAGGTCCCTGCCACTTCATTCCATGCTTATAAAATCTATTCTATCTGCATTTCATAGACTCATAGAATAGTAGAGTTGAAACAGGCCTATAAGGCCATCAAGTCTAACCCCCTATTTAGTGCAGGACTTCAGGTTAAAGTATCCCTGAAGATGGTTGTCCAATTGGCTCTTGAATGTCTCCAATGTGAAAAATCACATGACAGCCCTAGGTCATTGATTCCAATAGCATAGTAATCCAACAGTCAGCTTCCCCTGATGTCCAGCTGGAAACTGGCTTCCTACAACTTGAGCCCATTAGTCTGTATATTGCACTCTGACATGATTGAAACATAGAAACATAGAAACAGAGTGAGTCAGAAGGGGTCTCCAGGGCCATCTAGTCTGACCCCCGGCTCCAGCCGGCACCGCTCACAACATGCCCACCATGTGCATGTCCTGCCTATCTTTGAACACCCTCACCGATGGGGCCTCAACGACCTCTCGTGGAAGCCCATTCCACACCCTCAGGGTCCTGACTGTCAGGAAGTGCTTCCTGGCATCTAAATGGAACCTTGGTTCCCTGAGCTTCTCTCCATTGAAGCGCATCCTGCCTTCCTCTGAAGGGGAGAACAGGTCTCTACCCATCTCCGTGTGACATGCCCTCACATACCTGTATGTCACCAACATATCACCTCTGAGCCTCCTCTTCTCCAGGCTGAAGAGACCCAGTTCCCTCAGTCTCGCCTCATACCCCATCCCCTGCAAACTGGCCACCAACCTTGTGGCCCTACGCTGCACTGACTCTAACCTGGCTATATCCTTTCTGTAATGAGGAGCCAAAACTGAGCACGATACTCCAGTTGTGGGCACTCCAGAGTCGTACAGAGTGGTAGTAATACCTCTCTCAATCTAGAAGCCACACTTCTGGCTATGCAACCAAGGGTGGCATTCGCCCTCTTCACCACCGCATCACACTGCTGACTCATGTTTACCCTGCAGTCAACCAGTACCGAGGTCCTTTTCACAAGCGCTGCTCTCCAGGCACTTGTCACCTAACCTGTACTTATGACAACTATTCCTATGCCCCAAGTGCAAGACCTTGCACTTATCCACATTGAACGCCATCCTGTTGTCTCCTGCCCACTTCCTTAATCTGTCCAGATCCTTTTGGATCTGGAGTACCTGCTCCTCAGTTGTGGCCACTGCTCCAGTTTTAGTATCGTCTGTGAATTTGATCAGCAGACTGTTCACCCCTTCTTCCATGTCATTTATGAAAAGATTAAACAGGATCAGCTCCAGGACCGAGCCCTAGGGGACCCCGCTTGTCACTGGCCACCATCCTGATGATTCCCCACTAATGGTTACCCTCTGCTTTCAGTCAGTCAACCATGCCCTAATCCACCGGACAGTGCTTTGGTGTATCCCAAAACTTCTCAGTTTCTCCACCAGGATATCATGGGGCACTTTGTCAAAGTTCTTGCTGAAATCCAGGTAAACCACATCCACTACATCCCTTCCATCTAGCCATCTCGAAACCTTGTCATAGAATTCCACAAGGCTTGTCTGGCAGGATCTGTTTTTTGTGGAAGCAGTGTTGTGTGGCTGTCAGTCTCCCTTCCCTATCTAGCACCACTAGATTTCTCTCTATTATGAGCCTTTCCATTGTTTTTCCTACAATGGACGTAAGGCTAACAGGTCTGTAATTCCCCATGTCCCTTCTACTACCCTTTTTGAAAACTGGGACCACTGATGCCACCCTCCAGTCCTCTGGAACTTCACCCGTTCTCCACAAGGCCTCAAAAATGGAGGCCAGCAGGTGTAAGAGAACCCCTGCTAACTCTCTAAGTACTCTCGGGTGTAACCCGTCAGGGCCTGGCGCCTTTGTAATGTCCAATGCCCTGAGGAGCCCCTCAACTTCTAGCGGAGTGACTCTAATCTGTGCCCCTAAGTCCCTGGCCTCATCTAATCTCTTATGCGGATCTTCCCTGTCCAGCTTTGGGGAGAACACAGAGACAAAATAGTCATTTAGCCTGTTCCCTCATATCAGTCACTGGATCTCCTTCCTGGCCCTTCTCTGTGTAGCAGCCTTTCAGGTATTTTAAAAGTGCTACCATTATCTCTCTTTTCTCCAGGCTAAGCATACCCAGTTCTTTCACTCTTTCCTCAGAGGGCTTTGTTTCCAGACTGATGATCATCCTAATCACTCTCCTCTGAACCTCTTCCAGCTTATCTACATCTTTCTTGAAGTGAGGTGCCCAGAACTGCACATACTACATAATAAATGGAGCCTATTTAATGACAAATTGAAGGGAACTGGTACTTTACATGATTTGGAAACTACACTTCTATTCATGCAGACCCAAAGACTTTTGCTTTTTTTGCAGTCATATCACATTGTTGGCTCATATTTATACAGCAATTCCAAGATCCTTCTCACTTGTACTGTTGAGCCAAGTACTCCCCTTTCTGTAATTGTGCATTTGATTCCTTTTCCTAAGTACAGAACTTAGCATTTGACCCTATTTAATTTCATTCTGGTTATTTCAGCCCAGTGCTCCAGTCTATCATGATCATATCAAATTTTGAATTATACAATCTTTAATTACCAGATACAGATCTTAATCATTCAAAACAACGATGATGATAAAAAAATTAACTTGCAAATTAAGTACATCAGTATAATCCAACATATTATTTAGTTTCAGTATCAAACATTTTGGCTTACCTCTTGAGTGTAGACATTCATGGCCCTGATTCAGATAGGGGTTGTAGTAGTTTGGGAGGGGGGTTCAAGCTTTCCTACTTGTGAGCGGAGCCGGCTGGTGCCGGAGGTCAGACTAGATGGCCCGGGAGACCCCTTCTGACTCGCTCTGTTTCTATGTTTCTATGTTACTCCCCTTTTCATCCTGAAATCCCAACCTCCCTCTATAAAGGGGGATTGAAAAAAATAAGAAAATACACATCCCACTTGAATCAGTTAGGTTTTTTTAAACCCACAGTGGTGATGGTAGTAGCTTCAGGATGAATATTGGGGAAGGGCAAATTTAAATCTCCCTTCTCCTGAATCCCCAATTGGTTCCAATCCAAATCAGGTTCATGCTTGGTTACACTCAAATAAGTAAACCAATCATACCTATCTCTGTTCTGCAAGATTGGCAGAAAACTTAGTTTGCCCCTCAGAATCTACAAATGTGCTTAAGTACAAGGACATAGTCACCCTAAGATTCCCTTGATATCATTCCAAGACAAAGAAAAGGCTTTTTAAAGGTGGTGATATATAATGGTAATTTACGTCCCACTGATCTGATTGAAATCAGTTATGCAGAGGAAACTCATTGTACTGAACAGCACAACATATCTACTCAGAAGTAAGTTCCACTGAGTTCAGTGAAGCATAGTCTCTGGAAATATGATATAGAATTGTAGTCTGAAGTGTTTCAGTTTGATTAGATTGAGGCTTAAGAGAGTAAACCTCAGACAACATGAAAAGCTTCATATTCTCTTTGTACCTTCTGATTCCAACGGAAATTTTTCATGAACACCAAGATCATTCTCCTCTAACAATGAAGTGCACTCAGAATGTTGTACACACCTTGACCTTTATAAAAGAGAACAGCAGGAGCAAGTTGAACATTAAAACTAACCTTATACAGAAAACAAAATTGTGTTAGCTAATAGTAAAGGATTAAACAACTAAACTGAATAATGGATGGTTGCCACTATTACAGTAGTACAGTACCTTTGCAATCTTGGAAGAAAACTTTTAGGAGCATAACCAAATTGTTTAAGATTCACCTTTTGAGTTTTATTCAACATCTGCATCTAAAATATAGAAGTTATTAAAATGAATATATATGGTAGGGTAGGTAAGCTAGAATGTGAACACTTGTGACACCTTATCACAAATGAGCAAGTCACATATGACCACTATATTTCTACACTTTATTTAAGGCATGTTTAAGTGGTAAAGAAAGAGTATTTCAAAGATTTAAATGAACAAATTTAGTCAGTGACTTGGAACTATGCAAGCATCGCAGCAAGTTCAGACTGGCTGTAATCTATACTCAGTTAATCATATTGCATTTCATATTTTCAATTATTCAAGCCATTCTTCTCCAGAGAAAAATCTTGCAAGAAGGGGATAACAGTTTTAAATCCACAGATATGTCTAATTCTACCAGGAGGGAAGAATGGATGGCAGTCTCATCAAGGTGCAAACCATTTAGCTTTGAAACCTTATGACAGAGCAAATAGCTTTTCTTCCCAGACTTGCTAACCTGATAAAGAAGTCTTTACTTTGTCTGAGTTTGAATCCTACTGAGCTCCACTGAAAATACAGATATATGTCCTATCTTGCTTTTCTACTCTGTCAAGCCTCCATACTTAAATCAGCCAGTGTTACTATACAAAAAGTTTGATGTTCTCAAATTATTTATAGTACTTCTGCTGCAATACTTAAGCTTCTGCCTAATTCTGGCATTCTATTCTGATCCTAGGTAAGTTTGCTTGGAAATAAGTTCCACTGATTACAATAAAATTTACATCCAAGTTCATTTGTTAGGCAAATTTCTATTGTTGCTGCCACCCTTATTTTTTCTAGGATGTTTCTTAAGCATTTAATATAGTTTTGCCTCCCTGTCCATTTCACAGAAAATGTTCAATCTGCATTATATTTCACTAATAAAATGCTTTAAGTGTAACTATACAGAAATCCTGGAAACAAAGGGAAAGGAGAAAGAAATGCTTGCATATATGCACCTTTAATCGTTTGACTGGGGGAACAGAAGATACCACATTCCGGTTTCTCAAATCAACAAGATATGAAGAAAACACTGACTCTTCCTTAATATCAGATTTCTTTGAAACTCCAATTTTACCTTGAAGAAACATAGTATATGTTTATTTTAAAGTTGTATTCATTTAAAATGATTTTGCCTCAGAAGGTTTATGAAAATAATGTATGAAGGGTGCAATCCTGTGCAAAGTTAGCTAGACATTTCCACATAAACTTGCATAAGGTTGTACCTTAAGTTACAGGAATTTCTGTAACTAGCAGCCCAATTTGCCTCCATTTCTAAGGGCAAGGTTACATGCAGCTACCATTTGTTTCATCCAGATAATGCCGGATCAGTGGCTTGGACCACCATGAGTTGCTCTAATAAAACCAGACTTGCCTTACTTATATTTAAGAATGGTTCCCTTATGCAAATTTTACAACTAGGTTTACTATATATGTTCAAGTCTTTGGTCTTCAGTTAGTAGAAGCTGCATTCAGACAGAGAGATCTGGAGTACTTCGAAACAGAAGATTCCTAGCACTACCAATCAAAAGACACTGACTGGGTTTCCACAAGATGGCAACCCATCTTATGGTGGGTTGGCTTGTCATTTAAACTAGGACTGTTTCCTATAGCATGACTTGTTCTTTGGCTGTAAGCCACACATCCATAGGACAATGGATTGTCATGTCATGAACTGGGGCAGCTGATCTCACTGTGTGTAAAGGGAAACATCATGAGCTACTTGGCATGGGATACCACCAAATGATGGGTGCTCCACCAAGTGCCCAACTGGCAGTGACTCAAACTCCTCTGATGCAGCCATGCTCCCTTTTTCCAGTCAATACTGCTTGTTTTCCATGTTATCCCCCCCCCCACACACACACATTTTTCTTTTCTTAGGGATCACTTTTTGTGATCTCCAAAACAACAACTAATGAGCAAACTTTCAAATTGCCCAAGCAGCACATTGTAGTGGCTGCACTGGTTCACCACCTGACTAAAAAAACAAAAAAGCCATGTACCCATGATTTGTGTAAATGTTATTACTCTTATTCTGCTGATGGACTCTCCTGTCAAAAATACAGGAGGATAGAGCAAAAAACAAATTATAAACAGAGGAATTTGTTGCGCTGCTCGGACAGCTGTTAGTGAAAAGCAAAGCCATGAAGGGCCCTTTCTGATGAAAATGGATGACATGGATATCATCCCCTTCCCAGAAAGATCCTTTCATTTTCAGTGTCATCTGCCTTTTCCACACTTTCCTGAGATTCTCAGTACTTGGGAACATAGAAGAGTGGGAGGCATCCCATTTGCAGGAGCACAGTGTTTTAACAGCTATCAAAACTCAGGCTTCCTTTTAAAATGGGGATTATGACATAGCAAATAATGAGGGGAGGTTGCTTTGTTTTTGATGTGCAAACATGTAGCCATGAAATCCAGTCCAAATTTAAAAACCAGGGGGCTATATGCACCCTTCACTGTGCAGTACTCCGTATGTGAGATTCCTTCCAGCATACCCACTTTCTAAGTATACACAAGTATACAATACTTATGTGCACAGCTACATGTACACATTTCTATCCCTAAAGGATGCACTGGATCATTATTTGAGTTTGCCATTGTAATTCGGATCTTTTATAAGTAGAAGTCACAAAAAGGTAAATGAACTCACAACAGTCATGTCCACACATTTCTTTATTTTTGCAGTGATGGTTGCATTTTCTATTCCCATGCTTTATGCTTTTTTGGCTAGAAGTGATTTCTAAAGTAATAGAAATATAGAGGCTTAAAAACTGATACATGGAGAGAAAAATTAACCAACTTTCAGAACAATCTTATACATTTATTATTTATTTATTTATCAAAAGCTTTTGTATGCCATCCTATTATACCAAAAGCTCAGGACAGCTTAAAATTTATTTTTACAGAAATTATTTAATTCTGTACACATCTGTACAGAATTATTTCCTACTGAGTACTGTGGAGCCTACTCCTAGGTAAATGGGTACAGGATTGCAGTTTTGTTGATGATTTTCTATGTATGTTTTACATTCTTACATATTGCATTACCCACATGAAAACTCCAGATATCATTTGAAAACTTGAACATGCAAAACTACAACCATGTACCTGTCATGATGTGTCTTTTTAAAAAATTCAGCTTGTTGTATCCAGTTCACATTTATGCAACAATCAAACTAGGATTTGCCTTTGAGCACATACTCATCTATAGCCTATCTTGGCACTCAGATCCAATTATTTAGTAGGGAACATTGCTTACCTTTAAAACTTGCTGCTGGTGATTCTGCTAAGAGACTTTGATAACTATCAGATAAACATTTGCCTTGTAATTTTCCATATGTGCTAATTTGATCTCCAAATGCCTTTGGTTCTAGGTAAATGGCTTTATATTGTTGATGAATATCTAGACCAACTGTTGTAGAAAGATAGGCACTTAGCTTTACAAATATATCTGCAACATGTATACAAATGCACTCCCTTAATGAATATGAAATAGATTTTTTTAACCAACAGGATTCTATAACCTAAGTGCAAAGGTCAGCTAAGTCAAACCACTGACTCACAATACTTGACAGCTGCTTTCCTGATTCTCAAGGAAGAATCCTTTCCATCACCTGCAAACTGATCTTAGTAAGTGGGAAAGGAAGAGACTGAACCTAGGCTCTTCTACATGTAAAAACAGCTTAATATTTTCACTAGCACCCTCCTTCCTGTCCCCTTCCCGTCCCCTTCCCCCAGCTTCACCATGGCTAGAAATGTTCTCCAAAAGATAAACCTATTTTGAGTGCCCTTAATTATAACATGTCTCAAAAGTTGATAGATGAACAATTTTTGTCTAAAATATTTTGGAAAGAGGAGTATATTGTATTAAACAGTAAAAAGTGATTGAGAATCCTCATCTATAAGGTGAACAGATACCCTGCAATTCTCAGACTTCCTAGATTCTGTCACTTTCTCCCAGCTTTTCTGTCCTTAAAAAAACACAGCTATATATTTGCCACCCTTGCTGGTACACATACAAACCAGCCTGGATTTGGAAGCCATTTGCCATAATTCCCAGTTTGCACATAACAGGACGCTGTGGTTAACTGTAGCTTCCTGGTTTCTTTCCCCACTTTTTGAAGACAGGGACAAAGTGGCAACAAAGATAATGAATATGGGTGCATGGGGTATGTACATATCATGGCAGGTTAAGCCAGGATTTTATCATCCCACTGCAGCCAAAATAACTGTATCCAATGTCTATTTATGCCATTAATAAACTGTTTCAAAGCATTAATATCTTGTCATGTATAAGAATGTATTAAATGCTGCATTTATGCATTAAAATGTTTGCATATTAAATAATACAAATTCTTTCTTTTTAATTCTTCAACTCCGTTTTTCAGGCACTTAACTGGAACACCAAATTGGAACTTTAATTTTTGAGGATTACATTCCCTTTATTAATCAGGTTATATTATTCAATTTAGCTTTTGTTGGCTTTTTAAAAATATAGTATACCATCCAACACAAAGCTTCAGCAATGCTAATATAAAAACTGCCTTTTTTACTTGTTACTCCCCAATCACAATCTAATAAAGAATCTTTATATTTCACTTCAGTATGGAAATAGATCTGGGTAACAGCTGGATTTCATATTTGCAAAAATAGATATCAGCCACAGTGACTTGGTTTGCACAATACAACAACTCATACTGGTATGTCAAATATGTTTCAGAAAAGCTTCTTGAGTTACCCAGTCTGGCACAGGATAGGATAGTAAGGGTGCTTACTTATAACTCTCATCTGTGCACTCACATATGGGCTGTGTACCTCTGCAGGGCCTGTTTTGAGAAGATTTTCCTAGCTAAACTCATTTCGGCAGGAGCCTTGCCTGCCTCCACCCCCGCCCCCCAGTATATATAGCTCCCACCATTTTCCCCAGCTCTCATGAAAGACCTTTTGGCATTGGAACCTGGAAGGAAGGCTGGTAATGGCCCAACCTGTCCCAACAGGTCCTGAGGGAAAAGTCCCAGTAACACATTGCAATGTACCACAGATGTATATATACACACGCAGGTGCTTCTCAAGTATGTGAGGGCAGGGAGGGACAAGAACCTCTTCACAAGACAAATATAGATGAATTGTGCTGAAAAGGTCCCTGGGATGTGTTCTGGGAGCAAGTGGGAGGATGAAAGGGAAAACAAACAATGGCAAGCCTGTGTTGACAGCAGCATGACTTAGTAAGCAATTAACCAGCCCACCATGACTTGTTTCCAGCATGGCTCATCACAACAAATGAACAGGCCCATGACTTGTTTCCTGCAATCTTGGACTCAACCTAAACCCTATATAAAACCAAGTGGATCATAAAACAATTATGTCTGATATCTTCTACATTCCATCTAAATGAGTGAATAAATACAGATTTAATGGCTAGAACATCAAGCCAGCTTGTTCTTTTCTCTCTCTGCTTTGCTTAATATCCAGCATGTTTGCAGAAGTCACTTTTTGTGCCAGTATGCTTTGTCCTAATAAAAGTATTGCCCAGCCATGAATTTTGTATTTTTTTAAAGGAACCAACATAGTTTGTTGTAGAACAGACATCACTCCAAATTCAGCAGCTGAAATAAAACATCATGGGCATTTACTAAGAGCACACAGATGGGTGACTCAGATTAACAGTCTATCCAAAATGAAACCAGACATTTAGATTGTAAAAACTTTTCAAGTTGTTTTTAAGACCTAATCGAATAAATTAACTTACCATATTCAGAACTGATTAGATTTATGCTAAGCTCATCAGATTTAACAGCTCTTCTCACTTCAACCTTTTTAGTCCAATTTCCAGTTTTCAGTAAAGTAGAATCCCTAAAATAACATATTAAATATCAATACACAAATATTAAATATACATTAACATGCAACTTTTAAAGTTTCAAACTTGAATATACTCACATAATCTTTTGCTTAAAAACCACTTGATTATCATTGTCTCCTATTATTAAGGTTACATAGTGAGAATCTGGTGAAGTTCTCTTTGTCTGCAGCTGTTCAAAGTTGGTTAATATGATTGTCACTAGGATTTCAGCCACTGTGTCATTGTGTTTTGCCAGCTTGAAAATTAAATTACATATTAAAATAATGCTAGTTTTTAATGCATTACATGCTATAATACAGACAGACTCATTTTGCATATATCAGTAGGACTTGAATGTATCATCTTGGGTTTGCGCACTTCCCTCTTTCCTCTCCTCCTCCAGCATAACCACAAAAGGAGATTTGGAAATTATTACTTCTTTTATATATATATATCTACTGTTTGTAGATATATGAATGATACTATGGTTAAATTTATACTATGGTTTAGGGCATGGGTCCTCAAACGGGCTGGATCCGGCCCACCATGCCCATTTATCCAGTCCCTCAGAGTGTTTGGACTCACGTGCATGCAGGCACATGGCAAGGCGCTAGCTTGCTCCTGCGGATATTGTTTTGGACTTGCTCAGAGAAAACAGCCTCTGCACAGCGAGCTGACACCTCGACATGTGCATGCCCAGCGGCAGCTTGCTTGTGTGGAGATCATTTTGGACTTGCTCAGCAAAAAGGATCTCCTCATGAGCAAGCCACTGGCTCGCAGTGCACATGCCTGCTGGCGGCTTGCTCGCGAGGAGATCGTTTTGGACTCTTGGAGAAAACATTCTCCGCACGACCAAGCTGCTGCCTCGGCCACGCACCCCCAGCCCCTTACTGGCCTGCACCCCCCCGCCAGCACCACCTTGGCAGCCCACACCCCCTCCCCCGCCAGCACCTTTCAACTGGCCCCTGTTGAAAAAGTTTGAGGACCCCTGGTTTAGGGAACGAAACTGACTTAAAACTATGGTTTCTGATTTTGGCTTGTTCTTTTAAACCAGATAGGCAATTTGTAGGCCAAAACACCTAGAGGTACAAAAGTTTCCCACCCATCTCTTAAGCTACACTTAAGACAAACAACAGCATTGGGTCCATACATGACAACAAACTGTAGTTAAGTGACTGCAGAAAAACTTCTTGACCCTGCAAAGGGAGGATGTCGTATTCTCTGGCCTCAGTCTCCTTCAAGCTCAGGAAAAGACATAGATGAGAGGGAGATACTTTTTGCAGAGTCATTGTACCCCACTCCAGACCTTCCAGATCAGTACATATCATTTTAAACACCTATTGTACTGTCCCATATTGTTCCATGCCATAAGAATCAATGGCTGCAGAACTGGGAAGGGCTCTTTAAGACTGACCAGCCCTCAGAAGACCTTTACTTCTTGCTTAGGTAACAGTTCTCTCTGTCACAATGCTCTGCCCGGGTCCTTACTTTGACTCTGCCCTACCAATACATGTCTTGCTATTTAGCTTCCTGCTGTGAGCCTCAGGGAAGAAGGGAGGGGAGATCATGAGACACACATATGTTAATGGGTTAGCAGTATTATGGTTTAAGGACACATAAGACATGCTGCAGAATTGAGCTCACTGTAAAGCATTTCCACCACTTCTTTTCCACAGGCTTTGTCACCAGCAACATCAAAAACAGCTGGAGCACTCCATACCTGTTCTTGGATGGTGTTTAGCGAAGCAAGTCCTTGTGAAAGAGCTGTTAAGCTCTCTACAAGCTTACAGTGCCTAGGGACACTGTGAAGGAAATTACACCTTTGACATTGTGACTTAAAATGGAAGGTTAGGGTACTGAGTCACCCATCAATCTGCTCATGAAACAGGTCCACTCCAGCCAACCATTCCAGGTGGGCTGCTATCTGCCTAAATTAAAGTAGGTCTACCTATAAGACTTTTGTACTTCTTTCTGCACTGTTCCTTCTTTGTAAATGCTATGATATGAAAAGAGCAGCACAAGCAGATTCAAGAGCAAATGAAAGATTATTTGGGGAAAAAGCACAATGGTTGAAAGCTTTGCACAGGTCTTCATGTCTCAAGCTTATTTTCCCAATTTGTAATTAAAAGACTTTCTGTATGGCTATCAGTTACTGCCCCTTCTCATTTATATTTGGTTCCTAAGAAAGAGCAGATTGCTTACCTGTAACTGATGTTCTTTGAATGGCCATCTGTGCAGTCACACATATGAGTTCTGTGCCCGCGCAGTGCCTTTGGCCGGAAGATTAACAGCTAACGGTTTTGGCGGGAAACTCCGCTCCCCTCCTCCCTAGTATTATATAAGGAGCGGAGTATCCGCCATTTTCCAGTCTTTGAAAGACCAGATGTTCGCTCCCTTAATAAAGTTATTGTCAGTATGGAAAAAACTAAAACTCCAGTGGTACAACAAACAGCTAGAGAGATCCTAGCATCAAAGAGAAGAAAGTCGGACCACCCATGACACCAAGTGGGGTCAGTGGGTGGGTTGTGTGACTGCACAGATGGCCACTCGAAGAACATCAGTTACAGGTAAGCAACCTGCTCTTCTTCGTCGTGGCCTCTGTGCATCACACATATGGGTAGAATAACAAGCTTACCCAAACTGGAGGAGGGAGGTGTCATCAACGAAGAATAGAAAAAAGAACAGCCCTGCCAAAAGAGCAATCTCGTCTGGCACGAACATCTAGTCTATAGTGTCTGGCAAAGGTACACGGGTTAGCCCAAGTGGCAGCTCTGCAGACGTCTTCCATCGGGACTCCCAATGCAAAGGCTGAGGAAGCAGCAACAGCCCTGGTAGAGTGACCTCTTGGAGTAGATGGTAAGTCCAATTTAGCCAACTGGTAAGAAAGAGCAATTGTATTTACTATCCATTTCGAAAGTCATTGGGAAGTAACCGGATAGCCCCGGTTGTGGTCCAAGTATTTAACAAAAAGTCTGTTAGAGTGCCAAACAGACTCAGTCCTGGACCTGTAAAAAGCTAGGCAACGACGAATATCCAGCATATGCAGGGACCTCTCTATCGGATTCGAAGGAGCCGGAAAGAATGCCGGTAAAACGATATCTTGATGCATGTGGAACGAAGTAGTGATCTTAGGAAGAAAGGACGGGTCTAGCTATAGAACTACCTTTTCCTTATGAAAATTCAGAAAAAGAGGGTCTACCCTAAGGGCACAAAGTTCAGAAGATCTACGGGCTGAAGTAACTGCTACGAGGAAAGCCGTCTTCCAGGAGACAAGGCGTAGATCAATTGTCGCCATGGGCTCAGAAGGGGGTCGTGTCAGTGCCTGTAAAACTACTGAAAGGCGCCAAGTGGGCATCAGTGGCCTGATTGTTGGATGGAGGTTACCAAGCCCTCTCAAAAATCTTTTAATCAAAGGTTGAGAAAAAATAGAGAAACCTTGTACAGCTCCACGGTAATAAGAAATTGCTGTCGTATATACTTTTATGGAAGAAGGTTTAAGTCCAGACTGATGCAATTCGAAAAGGAATGGAACAATCTGCTGTACCGATGCCGATGACACTGGAAATGAGTGAGATTTGGCAAAGCTAGAGAATCTACGCCATTTTGCTGCATACGACTTTCTAGTGGATGGCCTTAATGCAGAGTTGAGAATATATTGCAGATCTGGATGTAAGGTTTGTGAGGCAGAGGTAATAGGGATTGCAGGTGGCGTCGACACCGGTGCAGCACATACAGTTATCAGATTCACCAGGCAGTCAGTTTCAGCGACAACAGGTCTGGGTGTCAGATCGTGCCTTCCTTCTGGGTAATGAGATAAGAAAGTAGAGGGAGTTGAAGAAAATCCTCCTGAGAGATACGAAGGAGAGTTGAGAACCATGGCTGGCATGGCCACCAGGGGGTTATCAGTAACCCCCTGTGGTCCCTTCATGAATAATCTTCGCCAACACTCTCATGATGAGGGGAATCGGTGGGAAAGTGTAAAAGGTCATGTCGTTCCAGGGAATCATGAAAGCATCCCCGGACGACCCCTGTCCTATCCCCGCTCTGGAGCAATAGTTCACGCACACCCTGTTCTGTCGGGTGGCAAGCAGGTCTATGTCTGGTGGACCCCAGAGGTGAACAGTCTGTCGTGAATCCGACAGCAGTGAATCCGAATATGTCGCGGTCACACGAATGGGAACTGGACCCTAAGGGCCCTCGACTGCAGGGCTTTGAAAACAGCAAGAAGTTCCAGGAAGTTGCTGTGGTTCCTGGAATCCCGGTGACTCCAAACCCCCTGGGTGCGGAGGTCATAGCAAATGGCTTCCCATCCCAGAAGAGACACGTCAGTACGAGAGTCACTGTAGGGTACCGAGGTCGAAATGGGACGCCGACGTTTAAATTGGCTGGTTCTGTCCACCATAATAGGGACTGTAGAACGGAGGACGGGAGCCGAATCCATTTGGTAGGTAGATCTCTCTGTGGTCGGAACATCCCATTGAAGAATAACTGAAGAGGACGTAGTCGGAGTTTGGCATGCGGAACCACGGCGATGGATGCCGCCATGTGTCCAACAGGCTTTGAATAGATCGGGCAGGAACAGTCCCTTCTCGTTGAATCCGAGAGATGCACCGAGTGATAGCATGTTGTCTGTCTTGAGGAAGAAAGGCTCTTGTCACCGTAGAATTCAGCCGGGCTCCGATAAAGTTGATTGACTGTATAGGGAGAAGAAAAGACTTCTGTTGATTAATGCATAGTCCAAGGTCTTGTAATAGAGCACAAGTAGTATCAACAGCAGAAGAAAGTCCTCCTTTAGTCTCGGAAACCAACAACCAATCATCAAGATATGGGTATATCCGAATTCCACGTAGTCGAAGGTGTGCGCAGACAGGAGCCATACACTTCGTAAAAACTCTTGGTGCAGTGGCTAATCCAAACAGTGACACCTTGAATTCGTAGATTTCAGAGGCTACCGCAAAACGAAGGAAGTGCCTATGATGTTGATGTATTGAAATATGAAAACAGGCATCCTTAAAATCCAGCGACGCGAACCAATCCCCTCTCCCCAGCAACGGAAGGATATTTTGGAGCGTGGTCATCCGAAACTTCTTTGGTGTTATGAATCTATTGAGAGCTCTCAAGTCCAATATTGGTCGGAGACCCCCATCTCGTTTCGGGACCATAAAATATCTGGAATAGAATCTGTGGAGTCCTTCCGATAATGATAAGCGACGAACAGCTCCTTTAGCAAGGAGTTGGAGAATTTCGTCCAACAGTACTGATGAGGTCGGTGTAAACCGGATAGGATTCGGTGATGGAACAACGTCAAATTCAATTCTATATCTGTGCTGGATGATGCATCAGTCAGATGTAATGAACTTCCAAGTGGGGAGCCGACTTTTCAGCCGGTCCCCAAATGAGAGAGGGGAGGGTGAAATCAGGAGGAGAGGAAAGGCTTGCTCGCCCCATCAGTGCTGACGCCTATCCCCATCAAAGTGGTGGCGGCCTTGCTGGAAGCGCTGGGACGGTTGCTGTCTGCGGCGTTGTTGGCGTTGGTGTGGTTGTTGTTGCCAAGGCTGGTATTGTTGGCGGTATTGCGGACAGGACCATGACCACTTACGGCGAGGCTGAGATTGCAGTTCCATACGACGGGCCATCATTCTGGATTCGTGGATCTTTTTTAATTTGCTATCCATCTTCACATTGAAGAGACCGGATCCGTCGAACGGCATCTCCTCAATTCTCAGCTTCATTTCTTCTGGGAAGTTGCAATTACGCAACCAGGCGTGTCTGCAGACAGAAATGGCACCGACGAGCATCTACATGGTGCCTGACTATAGAAAGTTGTTGCACCGCCACTTGCATAGCTTCCTTAACAAAGGTTTTTGCCAGCTCTCCCTGGTTGCCTGGGAAGGTGGCAATGATACTATCTAGGCGCTGCATGAGGAAATATTGATAGCGCGCCAAGGTCGCCTTGTAATTTGAAATCCGTAATCCGAGGCCAGAAGCCGCGTGTACCCAGCGCGTGAGGGAGTCAATTTTTGTTCCCTCCTTATCGTGAGGCAAGGTGTGTCCATGTGCTTCCCAGCCCTGAGAAGATTCCACAACAACCGAGTTCGGCTTGGGGTGGCGGAGGAGGAACGAATTTATATTTCGTTCATATTTACGTGAAGTCGGTTGTGGATGGGCCAGGAGGTCCCATGGTTGAGTCATCGCCTGCCATAGAGTTGTTATAAACGGTAAGGCGATAGAGGTGGATTGTTTGCCCCTGACCACATCATAAAAACAGTCAGTGCTCAGTCCCGGTTGTTGGTGGGCTTCAATGTCAAGCGACTTCACCAGCCTGGCCATTAGCTCGGTGAAGGAGATGTACGGTTCTTCAGGTGACCCCGGGCCTTGCGAAATAACCACTGCATCTGGCGAAGTCGAGTCAGCATCGGATTTGTCTGATTCCATCCAGGAAGGAGGTGGGGCACTGGAAGAGGAACCTCCTGGTAAGCCCGATCTGCCGCTCTCTCTAGATGGGGCGCTCAGGGTGTCTCTGGGTGTAGAATGAAAATGATCCCGAGGAGCTGGTGGCAAGGATCGCCCTCTGGAAACCAGATAATAGCCCACGGATTGGTACTCTTCCCGTCTCGGAGCGGAGGAGTATTGGGATTGGTACCAGTCATCGGATCTGGCATCCAAAGAACAGTTCCTATAGCTTCTTGGAGGAGAGATGGCGATGTCGGTATCCAGAGGGACGGGTGGCATTGGTGTTGGAGACCGAGCTCTTGGTGGAGAATCTCTTATTTCACCATCCGAGATCAAACCACGCCGTGGGTCCTGAAGTAGTTTGGCTGCCGGTCAGTGTGGTGAGCCTGGTGGAGTGACCCTCATAGCCACCTGGATGGTTGGGACTGAGGGGGTCGGTTCCGTGACCGGATTCGGAATCGAGGAGGTCGCCGAACCCGAGTGCCGATGCTTTGTATGCTCAGGATTCCTCAGTTTCTTAACCAGCTTGCCAGCCTTATCTTTTTTGGCCTTCTTATGCACAGGATGCTTTTCCGGGTCACTGTGCTTCCTCTTCTCCTTTTGTTTCCTTGGTAGGGAAACAGGCTGATCGGCCATACTAGAAGCACCTTCTTCAGAAGGGCGTGAGGGTGAAGCAATGGAGGAAGAGGCTGGGTGCTGCGGCAGATTGGCCAAAGTTGGACGGCCTTCAAGTGGAGCCACAGTTGTGGGAGGCTTAGCCACCAGCTGGTCCGATTGGAGGAGAGCCTGGTCCCACAAGAGTTTGCGGAGGCGGTTCTCCCGATTCTTCCTCGCCTGTTTGGAGAAGGCCAAGCAGTGGCAGCATTTATCTGTTCTGTGGCCTTCCCCCAGGCAAAGGAGGCACAGGTCATGTGGATCCGCAGTGGGCATTTTAGAGCCACACTTCCCACATTTGAAGAATGACACCCGTTGCACCATCGTAGAAAATGAAAAGAAGGAGATAGTAAAGCGGGAGAATAATATTTTTGGGTTTGTTTTTTTTTTTTAGGAACGAGAGAGAAAAGTGAGAAAGCAAGAACTAAGTGAAATACTAACAGTAACACGAACAAGGGAATACTAACGGTAAGAAAAAGGAAAGTTTTTCAACAAGCGAGAAAGGTAAGTAACGATCTAAGCGAGAGTGAAGTGACACAAGGCACAATGAACGGCGGTCGCAAAGACTGGAAAATGGCAGATACTCCGCTCCTTATATAATACTAGGGGGAGGGGGAGCAGAGTTTCCCACCAAAACCGTTAGCTGTTAATCTTCCGGCCAAAGGCACTGCACAGGCACAGAACCCATATGTGTGATGCACAGAGGCCACGACGAAGAAGCACAATAAACCTATGGATCCTTTGCTTGAGGATGATCTTTGTATTACATCACACATGTAATGAGAGATTGAATGACTGATCTTTCCAGAATGTAGGAAACAAAGTTTTCTTCAAAGATCTTTTACCTGCTTTTGCAAAGCATAATAAAATTAAAATAATGTATTTTGACTAAATAATTTACCTGTTCAACCATAAGCTTGTATTTTGGAAGGTGTGCTACCAGTTCTTTAATTTGATTTCCAAAGGGAGGGTGCCTATTCAAAATCTAAAAATGTAATTTCAGCAATAATTCATATTAATGCAAAATATTCATTAATTTGCACACGTTCAAATATTGTTGTTGTTAGTCACAAAGTCATGCCTGGCCCATCACAACCCCATGGACAACATTCCTCCAGGCTCTCCTGTCCTCCACCATCCCTCGGAGTCCACCCAAGCTCACACCCACTTCCTCAGTGACTCCATCTAGCCACCTCATCCTCTGCCATCCCCTTCCCCTTTTGCCGTCAATTGTTCCATAGCATATGATCTATCTAAGTTTCTGATTATTGCTTCCCATTTCTGCTGATTATGTTGCTTTGATCCACACTCTCTAATTTAATAAATAAAATATGAATAATAGAAAGTACTTGTACTGAAACATGCTACAGGCATAATGAGTCACCCTAACCAGTCCTAATAGTCTGAGGAAACTGTTTCTCCCTGGAGCTTAGACACTCTCAATACGGATTCCATTCTCCCACATCTCAGATATCTTTCTCATGCTATTATTTACACTTGAAGATGTGTGACTTTGGCTACAAATGGACAGGCTTCACATCCTTCTTACTTAATTTATTCATTCATTTATATCCCAGCATTTCTTTCTTTCAAGGAACTCCAAGTGGCTTGTATAATTATTCTCCTCCTCTCACTCTTAACCTCAAACAACCCTGTGAGGTACGTTAGATTGTGAGTCTGTGAAAGGCCCAAAGACACCCAATTAGCTCCATGGCTGAGTGGGGGACTAGAATTCAAATCTCCTCAATACTAGTTCTGCACTTTTAGCCACTGCACCATACTGGCTCACAGTGTGTAAATTCTCTGCAAACAATTACACTATTTTAATTCTGGAATCGTTATTCAAAAGATTAATCAAGGCAATCCTTTATTTTAGGATTTTGTATACTAAGACTACAGACTAAGATTATTAGCATTGTTAAAAGCAAATACTCAGGAGAATAGGAATGCAAATTCCTGTATTAGAAAACAGTGAAGTACAAACACAATAACACATGAATAAATGTTGTAGGTAAGTATTTTTAACACAACTACAACATATACAATTAGAAAATAAGTACCAGTTCAAGCTCCCTTGCATTTATATCTTCTATTTTTTTAAAGGATGTCAGGCCTGCATTCACCATTGCATTTGACAGTGTCATGCCTGTTGAAAATCGAAGGATGTTAAGTGTTTTCTTTTAACAAACTGTATTTCTTAGTAAACAATAATTATTTTCATTAATGGAAAAAATATAGCAAGCACATTATCTTATGTGATACCTACCAATTTTTTCCAATTGTTTGGAGACATATGGTGAGTTTTCCCACAGTCTGCACCTGAAGCACTTTGCTAAAACCAAAGAATTTAATAAAACAAGGAAATTATTTTGACAGGAGGCCAGAAATTCAGATAGCCCTACACAAGGAAACAAAGAGATATTTAAAAAAAAGAAACAGCTTGCATTGCAGATTATTATTAAGTAGTTTAAAAACAAAATTCAAAATTTGACTGTACATTTTGTAACTCTTATGCCGTTTCTGAAAATCTTGCTTATATCTTGAGTCAAGGTGAAATCTTGTATGGGAATACATCCTAGCTGTGCCTGAATAAGACTGGAAAGAAATTACTGAATTATTCAAAATATCACAGAAACAAGATTGTAAAAATGAATAAGAAGCACTACTGGGGGGTGGGGAATTGTGTTCAGAAAAAAAAAAATCTAAAGAAAGGAGAAGAATAAGGAAAGCTCTTGAAAGAATATACCAGGAATTTTATCATTGCCCTTATTTCAAGTATCAAATAAAAAATTGCACAAAATACTTACCAGTTCACTTTCATTTCTCGTGTTTTTATCTTTCCTTCCATTGGATATCTGTACATGAAAAATGCCATATCACTTTTTATTCACTTTGGGTAAAATGCTATATACAACGGTTCTAAAGTCCCAGTGTAAAACAGAGTGACTTTAAGCAGAATCCCATACATGTCTACTCCAAAATAATTTCTGTTTCCTTTCTCTCTACCATATAGTAAAAAAATTGGGACCTTGAATGAACAGAGAAACTCACTAAATACCTTCAGGTACAAATAGAGCAAGTAGAAACTGACACTTTTTACAGAATGTGGTATCCATTTATTGAATTAATTACCACCCAGAAGAATGCACAGCAACCTTCTAAGACATATAGAACTCTGGTGAATGAAAACTTTATCAGATAATTTTGCATATAATGAACAGAGATACTGACAATAAAGCAACTTGTATGTGATGTACACAAATTTTTTACTGCTTGTTGTTACCTTGAAAAATTCAAAAAATTGAAAAGAAAAACACAGCTTATTCCAGGGTAAGTGAATATAAGATTGCAATCATAGGGATTCAAATAGAAGACATTTCCTGCACAGAAAACACTATAATAATATCAACAAAGTGCACACTGATTAATACATGCAATGATATAATCACATCTATTGTGCTGTATTCTCCTGCGAGTTCCTTGGACTGGAAAGAGATCAAACCAGTCAATCTTAAAGGAAATCAACCCTGACTGCTCTTCAGAAGGCCAGATACTGAAGATGAAACTCAAATACTTTGGCCACCAAATGAGAAGGAACAACTCACTGGAGAAGATCCTGATGCTGGGAATGATTAACAGCAAAAGGAGAAGGGGATGGCAGAGGATGAGATGGCTAGATGGAGTCACTGGGGCAGTGAGTGTGAGCTTGGGTGGACTCCGAGGGATGGTGGAGGACAGGAGAGCCTGGAGGAATGTTCTCCATGGGGTCATGATCGGTCGGGCACAACTTTGCAACTAACAACAACAACAATTGTGCTGCATCACATCTGAAATGTCATGAAATTTTTACAATACAGCAAGTGAGATGAAGCCCACCAAGACTCATATGGTTGTGCACTATGGGTTCAGCAATAGTCCTAATGTTACTGCCTGCCTTGTATTGGTGGGGGAAGAAATGGGGTTATTAAGCACCTGACAGGCTGCACTGTTGGGCTCAATGGATTGCAAGCTATATACAGTAGGCTGTCTTAAGTACATGCAAGAGAGAATGCCTACACAGATAGAGCCTAAGAAGAGTTTCCACATGGCCAGACTGCTGCTGGATATTTGATATGTTTGAACAGTGATGTTTGAACAGTGATTCTGAAAAGTGCTAAATCTATGAAAGAGCCAGAATCCAGTCCCCATTGCATGCTATGCCTCCCCTACTACTCAGAAGACTTGGGGATACATTTTGTACTTGAGAAATACAAAGAATCACAGTAAATCCATAATTTCCTTGTTCAGTGATTTCTGCTCTATTAAATGTGGAGCAGCAGCACAGAAAGAAAAGCAGGTTGCTTACCTGTAACTGATGTTCTTCGAGTGGCCATCTGTGCAGTCACACATATGGGTGCTGCGCCTGCGCAGTGCCTTTGGCCGGAAGATTGAAAGCTAACGGTTTTTGGCGGGAAGCTCCGCTCCCCTCCCCCACAGGCTATAAAGAGCGGAGCGTCCGCCATTTGTTCAGTCTTTGACGACCGAATGTGCGCCCCCTTGTGGAAAAATTCTCAGTATGATCGGTACCAAGAAAAAATGGGAAACTTTCGGTACCGATGAATGAGTCCACTCACCGACACCGAGCGGGGCCGGCGGGTGGGTTGTGTGACTGCACAGATGGCCACTCGAAGAACATCAGTTACAGGTAAGCAACCTGCTTTTCTTTGTCGTGGCCTCTGTGCATCACACATATGGGTAGATTAACAAGCTTACCATCAGAGGAGGAGGGAAGGTGTCCTTATTGTAGGACGGAGGAGAGTACAGCTCTACCGAAAGAGCAGTCCCGTCGAGCCCGAACATCGAGACGGTAGTGCCTGGCGAAGGTGCAAGGGTTCGCCCAAGTAGCGGCTCGGCAGACGTCATCGATCGGGACTCCGGATGCGAACGCAGAAGACGTAGCGACAGCTCTAGTAGAATGGCCTCGGGGAACTGTAGGCAGTTCGAGCTTAGCTAACTGGTAGCACAAAGTAATAGTGTGGACTATCCACTTAGGGAGCCTTTGAGGAGTGACTGGGTCGCCCTGATCTCTAGTCGAATATTTAATGAACAGTTTATTGGATCGCCGAATAGACTCCGTTCGCGATCGATAAAAGGCTAAACAACGCCGAACGTCGAGGGAGTGCAAGGATCTTTCCAAGGGATTCGATGGCGATGGAAAAAAGGCAGGCAGTACAATGTCTTGTCCTGTATGGAAAGGTGTAGAGACTTTGGGCAAGAAAGATGGGTCGAGACGTAGAACGACCTTTTCTCTGTGGAAGTTCAGATAAGGGGGGTCGATGCGGAGGGCACAAAGCTCACTAGCTCTCCGGGCTGACGTGATAGCTACAAGGAACGCCGTCTTCCACGAAACTAATCGGAGATCCACAGTCGCCAAAGGTTCAAAGGGGGCCCTCATAAGGGCCTGTAGAACTACAGAAAGGCTCCACGTGGGCATAACCGGTCTAATCAATGGATTGAGGTTATACAGTCCTTTCAAAAATCTCTTTAGAATAGGATGAGAAAACAGGGATGATCCATCGACTAAGCCACGGTAGTAGGCTATTACAGCCGTATACACTTTAATAGAAAACGGCTTCAGTCCGGAGTGATGCAACTCCAGAAGGAACTGAAGAATTTGATCAATTGATGAGACAAGCGGGGAGAACGAATGAGACTCGGCGAAGGCGGAAAACCGCTTCCATTTAGCTGTATATGACTTTCTTGTGGACGGCTTTAGAGCAGCGTCGATAATATGCTGAATCTCAGGGTGCAAGAGCGTTGGATTCGAATTTGACGGGGTTTGAGCCGAACCCGATGGTATAGAGAGATTGTGGCAGTGAGAAGCACCCGCATAGTTGGACTCGAGAATCGGGGCCGAAGCAGTCGAAGTGATTGTTGAAACCGATGAATTAATAGAAGCTGTAGGATTTGAGGGTCTCAAATCCGTCACCGGCCCCAATGGAAGGTTAATCATCGAATTCGCCACGCTGTCAGATTCAATGAGAGCAAATCCGGATGACGAAGTGTGCCGTCCATTTGCGTTATAAGATACGGAAGTGACGGAAGATGAAGAAACTCTCCGCGGGAGATGTCGAGCAGTTTCGCAAACCACGGTTGGCGTGGCCACCAGGGGGCAACTAGTATCCCCGATGCACGGTCGCTCACTATCTTCGCTATGACCCTCATCAGAAGAGGGATCGGAGGGAAAGCATAAAAGTTGATGTTGTCCCAAGGGATCATGAATGCGTCCCCTAGGGATGCTTGTCCGATTCCCGCTCTTGAGCAGTAAGTCTCGCACACCCTGTTCTGTTGGGTAGCGAATAGGTCCACATCGGGAAACCCCCAGCGCCTGAACAGGTGGTTGCGCGTGCGAGGATCCAGTTCCCACTCGTGTGAAGTGAGGATGTGTCTGCTGAGGAGATCCGCATGTACGTTGTCTGTGCCTGCCAGATGAACGGCTATCAGAGTGATGTGTCTCTGAATGCACCAGTCCCAAATCGTCATAGAAAGCCTGGCTAAGGTCGGTGACTTCGTCCCTCCTTGTTTGTTCAGATAAAAAACGGTCGCTATATTGTCCAAAGTTATCTGAACGATCCGATGACGAATGAGGTCTTCGAAAGAACGAAGGGCTTTGAAGACTGCCAGCAGCTCTAGGAAGTTGATATGATTTGTGGATTCTAGGCGAGTCCACATTCCCTGGGTAGACAGGCCAGAGCAGATCGCCCCCCATCCTAGGAGAGATGCATCGGTACCGAGAGTTATCGAAGGGGGTTGCGGCCTGAAGGGAACTCCCACCACGAGATTGGTCGGCTTTAGCCACCAGCACAGGGAGTGGAGCACGGAAGACGGGATCCGAATTGGTTTCGACTGTGAGTCTCTTTGTGGATGATACACTTTGTTGAAAAGTAATTGCAGTGGGCGAAGCCGAAGTCTGGCATGTGGAACTACGGCAACTGTGGAGGCCATATGCCCCAGGACCCTCTGGATGGATCTCGCCGTAACCGTTCCCTCTCGTCGAATTCGATGGATATGGCGAGCGAGAGTCTGTTGCCTGTCCTGAGGAAGGAAGGCTTTTTCCAACGTCGAATCTAGGCGAGCTCCAATGAAGGTGATCGTCTGTGTCGGAAGAAGAGATTTTTCTGTATTAATACGTAGACCCAGACTATCTAGTAAGGCACGGGTTGTATGGATGGTGTCTAGTAGTCCTTCTCTGGATTGCGAGACTAGCAGCCAGTCATCGAGGTACGGGTAAACTTGTATGCCCTGAAGGTGTAGGAAGGCACAGACAGGAGCCACACATTTGGTAAAAATTCTCGGAGCTGAAGCCAGTCCGAAGGGTAAAACTTTAAACTCATAAAGTTGGTTTGCAACAGCAAAACGAAGGAAACGCCGGTAATTTGGATGAATTGAAATATGAAAGTAGGCGTCCTTCAGGTCCAGTGAGGCGAACCAATCCCCTCTCCTTAACAACGGCAAGATGTTTTGAAGGGTGGTCATACAGAACTTCCTCGGTATAATAAACTTATTCAAGTCCCGTAAATCCAAAATCGGACGTAGACCGCCGTCCCGCTTGGGGACTGTAAAGTATCTGGAATAGAATCCGTGGAGTCCATCAGATGGGAATACTTGACGAATCGCTCCTTTAAGGAGAAGTTGATGTATTTCATTGAGAAGTACCGGCGAACATGAAGTGGACCGGATCGGACTCGATGGAGGGATGATGTCGAATTCTATTCGATAGCCGTATTGAACGATGGACAATACCCACCGGTCAGATGTGATGGACTCCCAAATGGGGAGTCGGCTTTGGAGCCGGTCCCCAGATGAGAGGGGGGTGGGTATTAAAGGAGCGTGAGGAGTGGTTCGCCAGTCCCGTCAGCGCTGTCTCCGGTCGTCGAAACGACGGCGGCCCTGTTGGAAGCGCTGCTGGGGCGGAGGACGGCGACGCTGCTGTTGTTGCTGCTGGCGAGGTTGTGGCAGCTGTCTCTGTTGGTATGGCTGCCTGTAGGATGGCCGATTCCAGGACCACTTACGTCTGGTATGTGACTGGATCTCCATCCTGCGCACTGTCACTCTTGACTCATGTAGCTTCTTGAGTTTATGGTCGGTGCGCAAATGGAAGAGTCCCGAGCCGTCAAAGGGCATCTCTTCTATTCGCCGCTTCGTTTCCTCCGGGAAATTACAACTCCGAAGCCATGCGTGTCTCCGAAGGGAAACGGCACCGACCAAGGCCCGGGAGTCAGTGTCCACGTGATGACGTGCCGTAGACAACTGCTGCACCGCGACCTGCATGACTTCCTTAATCAGAACCTTCGCAAGGTCACCCTGGTGGTTCAGGAGGGTGGAGGCGACGTTGTGGAGGCGTTGCATAATAAAATATTGATAGCGCGCCAACGTCGCCTCATAGTTAGAAATGCGAAGTCCTAAGCCCGAGGCAGCATAGACCCGTCTGGCCAGGGAATCTATTTTCCGGCCCTCCTTATCCCTCGGCGCCATATGTCCGCTCGCCTCCCTGCCTTGCGAGGATTCGACGACCGCCGAGTTTGGTTTTGGGTGCTTTAATAGGAAGGGAATGTCTTCTTCCCTGACCCTGTACATAGATTCATATCTCCTAGACGTCGGCTGGGGATGTGAAGGCAGGTCCCAGGGCTGCGTCATCGCCTGCCGCAGAGTAGTTATAAGTGGCAGGACGATAGAAGTCGATTGCTCCCCGCGGACGACGTCGTAGAACTTATCCGTCGACGGTCCCGGGCGCTGGGCAGCGTCGATGTCCAGGGACTGGACAAGCCTCAACATCAGCTCTGCGAAGGAGACGTGTGACTCATCGGGTGACGCAGGATCCTGGGATGTCACCACGACGTCCGGAGAAGTTGAATCTACGTCAGAGTCATCCGAATCAGCACCATAATATGGCGGGGCAGAAGATGACGACTCCGCCGGTGATAAGGAGCGGCTGCTTCCGCTTCGCAGGGATCGAGGCGGCACCCTCCTCGAATCCACAGCCCAGGGCGGAGGTGAGGATCGCGCTCTGGGAGCAGGGTAGTATCCCACAGAGAGCGGGTCTCCCCAAGGTTGGTAGTAGGGACGACGCCAACTCTCCGGGCGTTGTTCTACCGAGCGGCTCCTCCGATTCCCTGGTGGGGACAGGCCAGCTTCTGTCTCCAATGTCACCGCGGGCATCGGTGTCAGTGACCTCGCTCTGGGAGGGGAGTCCTGAATTTCCCCGTCTGAGATAGACCCCCGTAGAATTGGAAGGGGTGCTGGCAGGAGGTCAACCACACGTCGGGGAGACCCCTGAGGGGTGACCCGCATAGCCTCTTGGAGGATCAGTTCGGGCGGGGTCGGTATCGTAACCGCCACCGGTACCGAAGGGCCTGTCGGTCCCGAGTCCCGATCTTGGGGACGATCCGTAGGCTTAGCCTTCTTTGGAGGCTTAGAGGCCTTTTCCTTTCTGGCCTTCTTATGGCCTGCCGGCTTGTCTTCAGCATGTTTGCGCTTCTCATGTCTCTTTTTTGGTGAGGCAGAGGGGGCCAGCAAAGCAGACGCGCCTTCGTCCGAAGGGCGTGAAGGAGCCACAGAAGCAGAGCCTGGTTTTGGGGTAGGGATGAGCGGGTCTGATTGCATCAGAGCCCTATCCCAAAGGAGCCTCCGAAGCCGGTTTTCGCGGTTCTTCCTAGCCTGTTTAGAGAAGGCTAGGCAATGAACACACTTATCCGTCCTATGCCCTTCCCCAAGGCAGAGGAGGCATAGGTCGTGCGGATCGGTCGGTGCCATCTTTGACCCGCAATCAGCACATTTGCGGAAAGCCGCCCGCTGCGCCATCGCAGAAAGGGGAAGAAAAGAGAGATAGTGCAGAGGGTAAGTATATATATATATTTTTTTAAATCGAAGAAGAAGTGAGAGAGAACTACACAAAACGGGAAAAACGAAGTAACGGGAAAGTAGTTTAAGGGCAATATATAGAGAACCAGAATGGCCAGAGCGAAGGACGAAAGCGGCGCGAGGCACAGCGAACGGCGGTCGCAAAGACTGAACAAATGGCGGACGCTCCGCTCTTTATAGCCTGTGGGGGAGGGGAGCGGAGCTTCCCGCCAAAAACCGTTAGCTTTCAATCTTCCGGCCAAAGGCACTGCGCAGGCGCAGCACCCATATGTGTGATGCACAGAGGCCACGACGAAGAAGGCTGGGTTCCAGTTGATTATGATAATAACGATTAGAACCAGCAGTTCTAGTCAGCCAAAGGTTTCTGACGACACGGATATTATTTTTATATCTCCTGTGTGAACTGGAATTCATTCTAAATAGGACAGTGTTTATGATAATATGGGACATATGTAACTGTGTACAAGACAACAACAATGTTCTACAGTAACATTACACTATATATGAGGATATCTCGTACCTTATGCTTATACGGTTCTTGTCCTTATTCAAAGTATTCAATATTTTTTTCTCATTTGTTCTTAGCTTGATGTCTGAAAATTCATTGCAGCTGGAAATCAGTGTGACCTACAATAGTTTCTTTCATTAATTTTAAGTTCCACTATCTTAACCTTTTCCAATTATTTTAATATTTTAAGCATTTATTTTAGAACTCATATATCCATGTATGTGCAGCAAAATATTCAGGGTTATTTGTTGGAAACTTCAATTGCAACTGCTCAAATGGACAAAGAATACCAATATAAGCTTCTACACTGATGTGGATCTAGCTGAACGAATGCTGCATTTGATAAGCAACTATAAATATGAGAGACTGAGAAAAGAGTTTTCCTTCATAGTACAAAATAGTATCCCTTATCTTCTGTACCCTGAATTGGAAACTTTAAATGGTCCTAACAGCCCTATTTAAAAACCCAACATTTTAGACTGGTTCATACGCAGCATCAAACTATGGTTTGGCACTACAGAAATGAAATCTTGTGTTCATATTCCTCATTCCTTTTTTAGGCTACATTTCATTAGCTACTTTCTTGATTGATATTAATATCAGAGCAACAAAGAATAATTCACATTTGCCCTGAAAACAAGAAGTGAAAACCAAGGTGAAAGACTGGTTTACACTCCAGTGTAAACCACAGTATGCAATTTCTGCCTCCTTTGCGTAGCACCAAACTATCTTTTAGAATTAAATGAAGCCTTTTTTTTTTTTTTGCGATAGATCAGCCCAATTTTGTAGCATATATGGGCCAAACTGAATGCTCCATGGCTAGGCTAGAACCAAATCCCTGTACTCAAATGCTGCAAGAAGTAAAGAAAAAGAATGGGAAAGATGACGAATTACCCCTCAACAGAACTAACAGCAGTTGCTTACATAGAACTTGAGTGGTTACCTGTACATTAGGCACTGTGCCTGCATGGCGCCTCTATCAAGAGTCTTCTATTGCTGAGGAACTTTTGGCAGGGACTCTCTCTCATTGTCCTAGTCTGCAATTACTCCTACCCATTCCCTCAGTTCCTTGAGACTGGCAAATGCAGCTTTGGAATTGAAGGGAACCTTGGTACAAATAATGAGATTGACACCAATGTGAGGACACTGGTTGGGCTGCATGAATGCACATTTGAAGAACTTACAAAGGGTATGTAACCTGCCATCATTCAACTTTATAGTATCTCTAGTAAACTTAATTACCAGCAACAGGTCGGTCAACAGGTTGGTGTTTAATGGAAAAACAAGGAGGAGGCAAAACAAAGAAAGAGAAAATTTAAAGTTTGCTTTGCCTCAGCACATTTTTGTTCCTTTCAGAAAGAAGTGAATGAATGGATACTATTACTTATGAGCCTGCCACAATGGCAGTAAAAAGAGAATTGTGGAAATAAGTAGAAGTCACTAGGTACAAGTGTACTGGGATGGTGGTGCGGGGGGGTTCCTTAGCTACAGAAGGCTCCCAGTGATGCGCCACATAGGCATGAGCCCATATGTGTGTGAACCACAGAGATCCAATACACAAAGAAGAACCAATACTGTTAACATGTATTTTAACCCATATGCATATTGTGAAACAATCTATGAATGGGATGTTCCAGGATTGTGAGTTAAAAGCAGAAATAATTCACACCAAGTCATTGTGGCACTGAATTATAAGAGGTCTTCCAAGAGCTTGCACAAGAGCTCATGGAACAGCACCAATACGTTTTCTCCTTCTGTTCAGATCTATGCATGGATCCAAACCTAACGAAGGAATACTGTATGTAACTGATGAAAAGTTTTGTATATACAAGAACACGTTTGAAAAAAATGAGCTGAATTTTACATTCAGTTAACGGCTGTTGGAATATATTAATTTTTCATTTGAATAAGAAGTTACCAGTTCAGATAAAGTCTCATTTCCTTTAATCACGAAACACTTTTTCATAGTGTCAAATGCAATATAATACCAAGCCATTAGTCGCCCAGTCTCTGTAGGAAATAAATATATATGTAAAAAGCAGTTAGCTCTCTTTAAGTGAGTTACATGTTGCAATCTATTCATTTTCTCTATCACATACGAAATATAACCCATAGGAGGCTTCCAAGTGTTTTTAATTACTTGCCTTTATAGTGTAGAGGTAATATGTCATTAAGCAGCTTTAACTACAACAAATCATACAATGGCTTGCTTCATTAGCTGGAGCTCTAATAGCAGTTTTTTGTCTGAATTTTTTTTAGAAGAAAAATCCTATCCTTATTAACAACTATGTAGTTACTCGAGTCATAATATTCACAGGAGTTTACCACTCTCTCAACTTTGGAAGATGGGATAGAATAAATGCTTTCCAAACTTGTGTTTTTGGTGAAATGGGCAGCTCCATCTAGTCTATCCTTATAATCATGCCCTCCATCAGAACCAGTAAGGCCTAAGGGCCTTATGTGGGATTCAGGTACAGCTTTCTTCACAACAAAGCAACAAACACATTGGAAGCACAGGTATCTTTAAAGTGGCTACAGACGTGAGTGTGACAATTCTATAATGAATTAGTTTTAAACCTTAGCCTTTGGGCTTGTCTTTGCTTGCATCAGGTATTAATGGCTCAGAAATGAAACACAGAAATATATATGTACTGTCAAGAGACTGTGCTTGACATTATGGGAATCACAATGGCACGTGAGAAGGAAATTTTAAGCCAGAGCCAAAGTTGTATTCAGAAAACATGTTAAACCTTTAAGTAGAAAGCATTACCTGTTGGCTTGAAACAGAGCTCTTCATCCATCTTGACCAAATCAAATGATGATAAATCATCCAAGTTTTTCAAGCATAATTCTGTACAAGGTGAAATAAATTATTTAGGTCATACAGAAAAAAGTTTACAAGATTTTGGAGGCAACAGAGACTATCTATGCATGGTGACTAAGTCACTAAATTTACCTGACAAAACTATTTAATGGAGGGAATTACTGGACTTTAAATATGGTTGGAGGGCATCAAATTCCCAACTCTGAGGATAAAAACAGTGCTCCAACCTCAGAGCTGAATATTAGAACTCTAATCCCTCTCCCCTTCAGGGCTGTCATGAAATCTTCTTTCTCAGGGAAGGCTTATGCGGTGGCACAGTGGGTCAAACTGCTGAGCTGATTGGCTGGTTGATTGAAAGGCTGACAGTTAGAATCTGCACAACGGGCTGAGCTCCTGTGCTTTGTCCCAGCTCCTGCCAACCTTGCAGTTTGAAAGCATACAAATGCAAGTAGATAAAAAGGTACCACTTCAGTGAGAAGGTAGCAGAGTTCTGTGCACTTCGGTGTTTAGTCATGCTGGCCACATGACCATGGAAAGTGTCTGTGGCTCCCTTGGCTAGGAAACAGAGATAAGCACTGCCACCTAGAGTCAGACATGACTGGCCTTTAATGTCATGGGGAAACCTTTACCTTTTAAGGTGGTGGGGGGAGAGTTGGAGAGGATACTAGAGTGGCCAAGATATAGTGTATCCCAACAGTCTCCTTCCCCTCTGAAGCAGCAAGTTGGATTGCCAAAACAGCCATCTAGCAAAAATGAAGAGGCAAAGATGGTCTCTACTGCTCCTTCTACTCTGCATAGGATGTTTGTAATCATCTGAGTTTGGGTGCTTAACAGACATCCTGATTGGATTGTGTGCTAAGGTCCAAATAAAATTTAATACGTTTAAGTCCTATCAAATTTGATAGGAGTTATTTAAACATGTTAAATTCTCCTGTTGAAGCCAAAAGGAGTTTAAAAGTAGTTAATAGTTGTTTAATTGTTTCCCAAACAACATTGTCAGTAATTTCAGGGGATTAGAAATCAACTAAGTCCCTGTTCAATTTTACTTATATGGTCACTTCCTCTTATTGTGATTTGTTGCCTGGGATACCTATTTTAGCCACTTTAAAGATGACTTCAATGAGTTTGCTGTTTTATTTTAAAGGAAGTGAGTACCACAAAATGAAGTTTGGGTTGATTTGTCAGTTACGTAAAAAGATTATTTTAGTCTCTCTCCAGAAAATGAAACAGCCACTATGCAAAGGTAAATTAGTTTTGGGTTTCATTATAACCAAGTTATAGCAGCTTAGTTATTACCTGAACGTTGGACAAAATCAATACTATCTGTATGTTTATAAATACCAGGTATGAGGTAGCAACAATGAAACCTAATGAAATTGCATTGATCTGTGTTTTCAAGAAAGTTGAAAAGCATCTAACCTTGCAGTTTTGCTTCAATTCCAGCTCTGTTCAATCCAGTTGCAAAACCTTCATTAAAAGAAATTTAGATTTAATAGTTTCATTTACATGTAATCATATATTTAAATGCTAATATAGCAGTTCATAGCTCTTTAACTAACCAAATACAAGCTGAAAAAAACTGTTGTTTAATGTCAACAGATATGGAGAATGAGCATATACAGAGAGCAACTTACTATGAGAAACAAAAGGCTGAACAGATTTAATAATTAATTTTGTTCTGAAATACCTATGGACCTAATAAAAAACCCAGAATGCAGGATTGAGTACTTACTGTAAACATATGACCATAATGGAAGCAAAACAGACTATTGAGGCTAATCAAAAAGGGCCAGTTATTAATCCCTTTAATATATAAAATGCAAATGGATTCTATTTGTGTGCAAAGTAAGAGTGTTTCACCATGATCTCAGATCTTCAGCAAGTATGTATTACGTTAGCTCAACATGATATTAATATAAATCCAAGATCTAAGTATAAAGTATACATGACACCTTCAGCACTGGCAAAAGCACAACAATTAACATACAAACACACCAAAGATTGTATGCATTATTTCTATCTCCTCTGATCACCACCCAATAAAGTAAAATGCTAGACTTCCTTTCTATAACAGGACAAGGAAACTTTTAAGATCTAGACAGTGTCAGCTCAGGCAGATCAGACGGAAAACAAAAGAGAACTAGTCAAATTGCTTTTACAGGCAGTCATAACCACTTCATACAATGGTGAAGCCCATATTATACCTGCTGCAACAAATTAATGCTTTGTCAGATAACTGCCCTGGCTGAAGTGTGGCCAGTCACTCAACTTTACTGTCTCATCGCTTAGGGAAACAGTCACTGTTGCCTGCCCCTCATACATGAAATTACAGCATCTGCCCTAGCACCCAAAAATGGATTGAAGGATGCTATACAAATCTCATTAGAAGAGGGAACTCTTCCCATCAGAGCTCTGAAGTTAACCTTTTTTTGCATCACATGTAATGTTAACCTATACACTGATTATTTATGAGACAATGCAGTCTGAGGTTCAGAAAAGCATATTTCTAGTTTTTCTAGTTCATTCTTCATCACTGACCATTTCTCTGTATTTCTTACTTTCCAGTACTGAAACTATTTTCATTTCTTGTTATTAAAATAAGCTAGACAAAAAGTAAATATTTATTTTAATCTTTGTCCTGTTAGTCTATTGGCTTTAACAAATATATGGCTTCATTTTGAAAAATCTTTTATGATTGTATTTCCCAATTTATGAAAACAATGGTTTTACATGTATCTTAAAAGAAAGAGTGAGTGCAAAAACAGATGTGGAGTAAGGTGCTAAATGGACTAACTGTTATCATTTAAAGACATTTCAACAAAGTAACTATTCCATTTACCACTTCTTTCCTTTCTTTCACAGCTCTGAAAAGCAGCTGTTCCACATACAAAGAGATCCTACTGCGCTGAACACCCCAGAATGCCGTATGCTGTAGTGTTGACAGCAAGCAGTATCAGTACAGAAGCAGAAACTCTGCATTTGGAAAATAGATCTGATTGATTTCACTAAATATGAAATGCTTTTCTGAAATTTAATACTACTCTTTGATCCTATGTAAAGGCACACCTATTTAACAGAAAATTTTATAAATATCACACCACTTTCAGTAGAAGCACATTGCATTTCCTTTGAAAGTAGATTTACAACTTAATACTGACTTGAGCAACAAAATATTACTATAGTGGGATGCTATGCACAGCCAAAACCTGCACCATTCCCAGTAATGAAGAAAAAGCAACACTATGCTAAAATAAGGATTTTAAAGCTATAGGCTCTACCATGGCCAATTTACTGTAAAGCAAGATGAAACAGGAGCTAAAGACATAATATTTTAAAGTGGGAAGCCATTTTTCTCTACCCAAGCTCTCTTTTGTATAATTTCAGCCTTTTCACTTCAGATGCAAGCCAAATACAGCATGCTAGTAGAATATTATGACTTTTCAAGTGTTTGATAAAGTGTCTATTTTGGCAGTTCATGCACAGAACTTTATCAATCATCTAGCAGGCTACAATATGTAGTTGGAAAGCAATATACACACATAAATACACCAGGGGAAGTTTTGAGCTTAATACAAAAAGGAGCTGGTGATATTACAAGATATCCACACATTGCCAACTAGTATTAACTTGCCAGGGAGAAAAGTGAGGGAAGCAGCAGCAATGATGGTGGTATCTATCCACATGAGACAAAGAAAGGCAGTGAAAGTGTGAAACAGGTTTTAGAAATGTTCATTGTTTAAATCTGCACTGACAAGAAAAACCTATATAAGAAAAAAGGAGGCACCAACAACCTTTTCTGTTATATCTTAGTATTTCTAAATTATGCTTCAAGATGGGGCCACTTTATTGCAAGAATTTATTACATCCAAATTGTAGCATATTTTAATTAAGTGCTGCAGTCCAGAAAATTTAAGACCAACTAACCATATTGAGCTGGATTTTTCAAAGCTCTGATGTAGAGGAAAGTTGATCGAATCCATTCTAAAGCTATGTTCACATCAGTGATGGTGTGGAGCACTATTTCAGCATTTAAGTGTTCAACGAGATGCATATGCAAACTAAGAAAACCAGAAAGCAAATGAAGTTAAAGCAAATGCGACATACCAAATCTCAACCAGTAGCTATATATTCTATTCTTAAAACAAATTGGCCACAGGCAATAGAAAGTTTGGGGTCCAAATTCCAAAAGTCAAAATTCACTGTTCTGTGCAGAAATGTAAGAGAAGCTCTGACAAACACCTGGCATAACGCAACTCAACTTCTCTCACCCATAAAAGGGTTGAAGACATCAACTGAAATGCACCATGAGAAAAGGCAAGTTGTTCATCTGTAACTGTCGTTCTTCAAGTGGCCACCTGTGCATTCACACATATGGGTGCTGTGCCTGCACAATGCCTATGGCCAGAAAGATTTAAAGCTTAACGGTTTTGGTGGGAACTCCGCACCCCTCCCACCCACGGTATAAAAGGGTGGAGTGCCGCCATTTCCTCAGTCTACTGAAGACTGATCATTCGCCCCCTCGTGGGAGCGAGAGATATTACAGGGAAAACTGTAGAAAACTGCTGGCCACTCGAAGAACGACAGTTACAGGTGAGCAACCTCCCTTTCTTTGTCGTGGCCTCTGTGCATCACACATATGGGTGATTAGCAAGCTTACCAGACCCAGAGGCGGGCAGTGTCGTCACTGAAGAACAGAAGAAAGGATTGCCCGCCCAAAGGAGCAATCGTGCCTGGCACGCACATCAAGGCGGTAATGTCTGGCAAAGGTGCAAGGAGTAGTCCAAGTGGCAGCCTTGCAAATGTCCTAGATCGGAATGCCAGTGGCAAAGGCAGAGGAAGAGGCTACCGCCCTCATGGAATGCCCTCTGGGGTGACAGGTAAGTCAAGCTTGGCGAGCTGATATGCTAGCTCGATGGTCTGTACAATCCAGTTCGAAAGTCTCTGAGAACCAACAGGAGAGCCTTTATCATGGTCTGAGTATTTAACAAAGAGGCGGTTAGACTTACAGAAGGACTCTGTGTGAGACCTGTAAAAGGCAAGGCAGCGACGAATATCGAGAGAATATAACGACCATTCTATTGGTGTAGCAGGTGTAGGGGAAAAAGGCTGGTAAGACAATGTCCTGGTTAATATGAAAAGGAGACAACGGGTAAGAACGCCAGATCAGTACGGAGAACAACTTTCTCCTTATGAAAGTTAAGGTAAGGAGGATCTATTCGGAGTGCACAGAGTTCACTAGCCCTTCTGGCAGATGTGACCGCGACGAGAAAAGCAGCCTTCCAAGACAGGAAGCGTAAGTTGGTAGTTGTTGTGAATGACGGCTCTCTATGTAAACAACCCACACTTTCATGAGCAATAAAGCTAAAGTCTTTTATTGCTACTTATCTACAAGATTTACAACACTACAAATAAGCTCTATTGCAAAGGTCTTTACAAGGCAGATGCTAACTCCTTAGTGACGTCTCGCAGGGAGCCCACATGGGACTAGCTATCTTGGCCCCACCTTTCCCCCCTGAGGTGGAACAAAGCTTCCTTTTGCTCCAATCTGCGCAAAGAACATCTAAGGGTCACGCGGGAAAGATCTGCTCTGCCTCCTGTGTCTCCTGTGTCATGCTCAGGAGGTTCGGTGTCAGGAGGGAGGGGGGAAGTCTGCTCAGGCTCTCTATGAGCAGAACTCATAGTGTCTTTTCCCTTGGAGCTCTCTTGGTCTGACATAGGCTCGGCTGTTTGCTCAATGGGTAAAGGGTCAGGATGAGGTATGGCTATCTGTTCAGCCATTCCTGAGCTAGGCTGTGGGAAAGACGTTTGGCTACAGGGTCTCAAGCATAAATCCTCCTCGTGGGGTGCTGCCTCTGTCGGGGCATCAGGCATGACAGTAGTTGCCAGAGGCTTGAAAGTTGCTCAGGTGAGTGCCTGGAGAACAACCAAGAGGCTCCAAGTAGGGATAACTGGATGAAGTGGTGGTTGAAGGTTCTGTAAACCCGTGAGGAATCGATGTATGAGGGTATGAGAAAAAACCAAAGAACCCCGCACCTGTCCGTGGTAGTGGGAAATTGCAGCTGTATAAAAAGATGATGGCTTAAGTCCAGATTGATGGAGTGATAAGAGAAATTGAAGGATATTTTCAACAGAGGCTGAAGAAGTGGCAAAACTGTTGGATTCAGCAAAGGATGTGAAGCGCTTCCATTTGGCCGCATAAGACCAGTGAATTGCAGGTCTTAGGGCAGACTGGAGAATGAATTGAATATCGGGATGGAGAGCGCTCGGATTCGATGAGGAGTCTACCAGTATCAGGGAAGATGAAGCTGTATCGGGACGGCATCGGACCAGTGTAGGAGTCCCCAAATCCGCTGGTACCGAAGGGACCCAGTGGTTCATCGAATAAGCCAGGCTGTCAGATTGAGTGAAGGAAGATCCGGGTGACGAACAGCTCCGTCCTGTTGAGTTATTAGATGAGGTAAGAGAGGCAGGCGGAGAAAGGCGCTGCTGGATAGACAGAGAAGAAGAGTAGGGAACCATGGTTGATGGGGCCACCAGGGGGTAATCAGGATCCCAGTGGCACCATCACAGAAGATCTTGGCTACGACTCTCATTATGAGTGGAATCAGGGGCAACGCATAAAAGACTGTGTTCGCCCAGGGGATCATGAGAGCATCCCCTGTCAATCCCGGGCCGATGCCAGCATGTGAGTGGCGAACAGGTCTATGTCCGGAGAGCCACATGTCCGGAAGAGGCAATGGCAGGCCGGACAATCCAGTTCCCATTTGTGGGTCATCGACATCTGCCTGCTGAGGGCATCGGCCTCCTCGTTGTTGGTACCAGCCAGGTGGACAGCAAGGAGGGTGATCTCCCTGGGGATGCACCAGTCCCACAGTTGCATCGCCAGGCGGGCCATGGGGGCAGACTTCATCCTGCCTTGTTTGTTTATGTAGAATACAGCAACAATGTTGTCGGAGGCAACTTGCACAACATGTCACCGGACAGTGTTCTCGAATGATCAAAGGGCTTTGAAGACCGCCAGGAGTTCAAGGTAATGTATGTGTCTGGTAGTTTCCTGGTGGTCCCAGGTGCCCTGTGTACGGAGACCGGCACATAGGGCTCCCCACCCAGTAAGGGAGGCATCGGTAAACAGGGTCAGGGTTGGGTGAGGCAGACAAAATGGGAGACCTATGGACAGATTGTGCCGCATAGTCCACCATGATAGAGTCTGGAGGACGGAGGTTGGAAGGAGGAGGAGATGGTGAGGTGAGTCTCGTTGGGGTTGAAACAGTCTGTTGAACCACAACTGGAGTGGCCTCATTCGTAGCCTGGCGTGGGGAACTATAGAGACTATAGTGGCCATGTGGCCAAGACATTTTTGCACCGAGAGTGCTGGAACAGCTCTGTCCATGTGGATTCGATGGATCAATAAACACAGATTGTCTTGTTGACTTTGTGGAAGGAAGGCTCTCGTCAACATGGAATTGAGACGGGCCCCAATAAAGTCGATGACCTGTGAGGGAGTAAGGCATGATTTCTCATGATTAATGCATAGTCCCAAATTGTCCAAGAGGTTACAAATAGTCTGAAGTGATGACTGAAGGCCTTCCTTAGACGGGGAAATGATCAGCCAGTCATCCAGGTAAGGATACACTTGAATGCCCTGGAGCCGAAGATGCGCATACTCCGAGGCCATACATTTCATAAAAACCCAGGGGGCAGTAGTCAGTCCAAACGGTAGGATGTTGTACTCAAACAGATCAGAACCGACAGTGAATCAGAGAAGACGCCTGTGAGATGGGTGAATGGCGATGTGAAAATAAGCATCTTTCAAATCCAGAGAAGCGAACCAATCCTCTCCCCTAAGCAATGGAAGGATATTTTGAAGGGTGGTCATCCAAAATTTCTTGGTTTTGATGAACCTATTGACACCACGTAGGTCCAGTATCGGACAAAGACCACCATCACGTTTAGGGGCCGTGAAATATCTTGAGTAGAAGCCGTGGAGCCCCTCAGAGCATGCAAGCTGTCGAATCGCTCCTCTATAGAGAAGCTGCTGAACTTCGTCAATGAGAACCAATGACTGAGGAGTAAATTGGATTGGTCCCGGCGGGGGCACGGTATCGAACTCAATTCTGTATCCGTGCTGTATGATGGATAAAATCCACTGATCAGATGTGATGGATCCCAAATGGGGAGTCGACTTTACAGCCGATCCCCAAAAGGAAGACGGGAAGGTGGGTTGAGAAGGAGAGGAGAGGTTCACTTGTCCCATCAACGCTGACGTTTGTCAGAGTCAGGGCAACGACGGTTCTGCTGGAAGTGTTGTTGTTGTTGCTTCTCACGCTGTTGGCAGGGCTGGAACTGCTGATGGCCCGTAAATTGCAAGTACAGCTGGTATTTGTAGGATGGACAAGACCAAGTCCACTTACGGCGAGATTGGTTAGGGACTCCCTTCCGGCAAGCTGTAACCCTCAACTCATGGATAGTCTTCCTCCTGTGGTCCATCCAAGCGTTGAAGAGCCCTAAGCCATCGAGAGGCATGTCTTCAATCTGTCGTTTTGTCTCGTCTAGGAAGTTGCAATTCTGGAGCCAGGCATGGCAACGGAGGACTACGGCGCCAGCAAGAGCTCTAGAGTCGTAATCGACATGGTGTCTCGCCGTGGAAAGCTGCTGGACTGTCACCTGCATAGCCTCTTTGATGAAGATTCGGGCCAGGTCTTTTTGCAGGTCTGGAAGTGAGGCCGTGATATTTTCTAACTTCTGCATTAGAAAATATTGGTATCGAGACAGCGTGGCCTCATAATGAGAAATACAGAGGCCAAGTCCTGTAGCAGCATAGATCCGGCAAGCCAACATTTCGATCTTACGGCCCTCTTTCTTGCGGGGAGTAGTGTGTCCCCTCGACTCATGTCCTTGAGAAGACTCAACGACGATCGAGTTCGGTCTAGGATGACGCAGGAGGAATAGAATATCCTGCTCACAGACGCGATACATGGACTCATATCGCCGCAAAGTGGGTTGAGGCTAATTGGGGTAGTTCCATGGCTCCATAATTGCCTGGTGAAGAGTAGTACTCAGCGGCAAAATGATGGCGGCAGACTGTTTGCCCTTGACAATGTTGTAGAATTTGTCGGTATCGGGATTGAAGTGGTGCTGGGCCTCAAGCTCAAGTGACCTCAAAAGCTTCACCATCAGTTCCCCAAAGGTTACATAGGGTTCCTCCGGTGAGCTGGGACCCTGTGTGGAGATTACCACGTTTGGTGAAGAAGCCACTTCGGAGTCCTCCAAGCCCAAATCGTAGTGAGGCAGGAGGCTAGAGGAAGAGTCGATAGGCAAAGTGGGATGCCTAGACTGAGCCACTCTCCAAGTCGAAGGAGTGTGTCTTGGTACCAGAGAAAGGGTACGAACGCGCATCGAAGGGTAGTAACCGTAGGGTAATCATCCCATGGCTCATGATGAGACGGCCTATGGGGTGGCTGAACCCATTCTTCCGAGGGACGAACGGAGGCACACTGTTGATATTGCATCTGCTGAGGAGCAGCCCTTGGGGAAGGCTTGAGTGATGGTTGGGGAGCAGGTGAGCGAGCCATTGGAGGAGAGTCCCGAATCTCTCCATCGGAGATTGATCCCAGCAAGGGAACATCCCGTTGCTCAGGGGAAGACTGGACGGAAGGTGTGACCTGTCTTGAAGACCCAGGCGGGGTCACTTGCATGGCCAACTGGAGGGCCGGGCCGGTCGGTGTGGGTACCAAAGTAGCTGTCGGAATCGACAGGGCGGACAAACCCGAGTCATGGTGCCTAGAATGGTCGGGTTTCTTAGGTTTGTGAGCCGACTTATCTGTCTTGTCCTTCTTAGGCTTCTTATGGCCTGAGGACTTGTCCAATCCACTATGCTTCCTCTTCTCCTTTTGCTTATGCGGAGATGCAGAGAAGCGTTGACCCTCCGGCAAAAGGGCACCATCAGCCAATGGGCGGGGCGGAGGTGTGCTGAAAGAGGAGGACGGAGCAGCATATTTGACTGCCAGTTGGTCCGACTGGAGCAGGGCTTGGTCCCACAAAAGTTTGCGTAGGCGGTTCTCCGGATTTTTCCTCGCCTGCTTAGTAAAGGCCTGGCAATGGCCACATTTATCATTCCTGTGCCCTTCTCCAAGACAGAGAAGTCACAGATCGTGCGGGTCAGTAGGTCACATTTTGGACCCACAGTGAGAGCACTTGCAGAAAGCCATACGCTATGCCATCGAGGAAGAAAGAGAAGATAGCAAGGTAAGAAGAGGTACAATATTTGGGGGGGGGGGTTTGAAACAGGGAAAAAAGGGGGAATTGAGAAGGAAAACTTCTAACAGGGAGGGAAAAAACTTGGAATCATAACGTCTAAGAAGATAATAGCAACTGGATAAACGTGTACAAACTGAGAGACAAAAGGCTCAAGGCACAGTGAACAGCGGTCGCAAAAAGACTGAGGAAATGGCAGGCACTCCGCCCTTTTATACTGTGGGGGGGAGGGGTGCGGAGTTCCCAACAAAACCATTAAGCTTTAAATCTTTCCGGCCATAGGCACTGCGCAGGCACAGCACCCATATGTGTGATGCACAGAGGCCACGACGAAGAAAGAAGAACTATTGTGCACTCTTCCTAGTACAAAAATGAAAGGAGGCAGTTCCTTCTGCCTTGTTAACAGGAAAAGTTCCTATTTAAAATACTCTTAAAATTTAGTTGCTGATTAGTCCAACAGACCTTTAATGGCTTCTTATTTCCACTGCATTAGAATAAACTTTAAATTGTTATGTAATTAAAAAGCTAAAGCAAAGCCTCTCCAAAGGTACGTTCATCACATGCCTGTTGCTATGTGCAATAATTCCACCTAGCTTCTCAAGGCAGGGGAAAAGAAAATGCAGCCTTCCAGATCTTGTTGAACTACCGCTCGCATATGCCTGGGCCACCCCTGGGTGAGGGATGGTGGGAGCTGCAGAGCATCAACATCCAGAGGGTAAAGGATGGTCTGATCACGTTTTTGGAGGCATATATGGTTTAGGGAGCTAACTTCTCAACTAGCAGCAGCCAAATGCAAATGGAGGGGTGTATTCAGAAAAGACCTCTGCACAGGGCAAATTGTTTCCACAATCAGGTTGCCTTTGCTGAGTCAAGGTGAATCAGAATTTTTAAACAAACAAAATGTCATTTTTACTGCAAATTCTAACAGGGAAATGTTTGATTTGCCAAAGCATGTATATACTACAGGAATTGTACAAAATATCCTATAAATAAAAAAATAATAAACCTGAGCGTATTCAAGGCAATCCATGATCAGATGTTCTGGTGTTTTAATTTTTAATTGAGAGCAGTCATGGGAGGCTCCAAATTGGATAAGAATAACAGTGATGATGAAGGGGAAGCTTAACCCTCTCTCCCCAGGGCTTTTTCTAATCTAAATCCTCTTTTCCTCATATCCCCAAGATTGTTATTTTCCTGTTTAAAGGGACACAGGTCTTTGTTTTCCTCATCTTAATTCACGTCTTTCAAATCAGTCACTGAAATACTGTGTACAAGCATGGAATGCAGGCATATGCAACTATGTGAAGGACTGAAGCACAAACTTGCTTTTGTTCTATTCCAAGTATTGCAGTAAGCATTCAGGGGAAAAACACTGGTGCAGATTATTGTTTGCCTTGCTGATTAGTATTCTTCTACATGCTGGGAAGATAAAATATTTTTAAACCTTCTCCTTCCCTACAGGCCTATCTTCATGATCCAGGAGATAAGCTTCTCTTTAATAAACAAACATGTTAGAGACAGTGTTTCCAACAGAATAAAGAAAAATGGCTTAGGTTACCTGCTTTCTATTGTATCTGCACCATTTAACATCTGAACATACTTGTCTCTTGTACTTAGCCTTGTCATGATTACTGCTGTGGCTGTTGTATCAAACTATAGCGAGAGAAAGAGAATTTAAAACAGAGTAGAAAGCAGCTAAGTTTGAGATATTTGGGTGGTAACCCTACAAAATATAAGAATATTCATTATTATTATATATAAAGCTTGAATAATAGCTAATAGAAACAGTTCGGAAAGCTTTACTAAGATACTAAAAATTACTACCCTTACCTACTTGGTTTTTCATACCCTGTCACCAGTTATTGGCAAAACCTATTAAGACCAAGTGTTACACAATTAAAGGATTCACATAAACAAGGAGGAGTACATGTTGAATCTGTATTAGATGACACTGATTTGACAGTCTTATCCTCAATGACTTCTTTGAAAGAGAGTGTAAAAATGATCAGTGACTTTGGTGTTCTCTGCTGATAGAATTAAAACTAAATTATAGTCTCAAAGACAGTGTAAAATGTAATAAAAGACTGGAAGCGTGTTTGAAAATGAAGCCATAGTAACAGTGCAATCCTGTACATGTCTGCTCAAAAGTAACTTACCTGAAGGTAAATGTGTACTTCCCTTTTTGTAAAGTTAAACTATCCCAGATGTCATCTTTCTCCTAGTGAAGTTGCTGCAGCCTCTTGACCATTTTAGTTGCCTTTTTTCTAATTCTACAATATCCTTTTCTAGATATGGAAACCAGAACTGTACACAGTATTTTGAGTGTAGTCACTCCATAGATTTGTATAAGGGAAGTATGATATTGGCAGTTTTATTTTCAGTTAATTACCTAATTATGCCAAATACTGCAGTTGCTTTTTACCCAGCTGCTGCATATTGAGCTGCCATTTTCAGCAAGCTGTCCACAACTCCAAGTTCCCTCTCTTGGTCAGTCACCATAAGCTCAAATCTCATCAGCTTATACCAGAAGTTGGGATTTTTTACCCCAATGTGTATTACTTTATTTATTATTTAAAACATTTTTATCTTTAAAATAAAAACTTAAAAATTCACAGTTGCTTACACTAAACCAGATCTAGCATTTTGATGCGCACTTTGGAACTCTTCACAGTCCCCTTTTGGTTTTAACAGCCCCAAACAGTTTGGTACCATCAGCAAACTCGGCCACTTCATTTCTCATGAAATCTGGAATAATCTTGAATAAGTTGAAAAGCATTGTTTCTAGTACAGATCCATATGGGACCCCATTGTTTACACCTCTCCATCAGGGAAAAAATGCCATTTATACCTATTATCTGCTTTCTATTCTTTAACCAGTTACTGATAAGTAAGAGGACCTCCCCTCTTGTTCCATGACTGCTAAGTTTAATCAGGAGTCTTTGGTAAGGATCTTTATCAAAGTTCCTTTGAAAGGTCAAATAAACAATGCCTACCAGATTTCCCCATTCATATGGGTACTGACACTCTCAAAAGAACTCTAAAAGTTTAGTAAAGCAGGAAACCATGATGATTCTTTTTCAGCAGGGTTTCTCTTTCTTTATGCTTACTAATTCTAGCTTTAATGTTTCTATAGATTGGATACCCATATATTGGACATTATATGAGCAAAGCTGGCTTGTGCCAGGGGTCAGACTAGATGGCCCAGGAGATCCCTTCTGACTTGCTATGTTTCTATGTTAATACAGCATTCAACCAATTTATCCGGAACATACACCAAGATAACTGGCCCATAATTTCCTTGATACCCTTAAATCCCCTTCTAAAATTAGTATCATATTAGCCATTCTTCAGTCCTCTGGTACACAGACATAGGGACGGTTACATATTTTTGTATGAAGGTCAGCAATTTCATATTTCGGTTCTTTAAGAATTCTGGGATGGTTGCCATCTGGGCTTGGTGGTCTATTAACTTCCACCTTGTCAGTAAGGTTAAGAATTTCATCTTTCATCACCATCCTGCCTTAATTCCTCCAACTCCCTTCCTGAATGCCTAAGCTCAGGAACAGGTATCTGCCCAGTATCCTTGCTGAGAAGACAGATGAAAATAATTTATTCAGCTTTTTTGCAGTCTCCTGATCCTCCTTTAAATCCATTATCATCCAATGGTCCCTGGCTGATATACTGTTTCTGATATACTTAATTATCATTGGTCTTGATATTATTAATGCTTTTTATTTTATCATTAGCTTGCATCCCTTTTGTTCTCCTCATAGAGAAAGATCCTCATAGAGAAAGATCACTCTCTTCTTAAGGTCCAAACAATATTGTCAACTACCAGCAACTTCCCTGTGATTTCCCACCAATTCTTCTGTCCGTTTATTTACCAGAGAACATCATGAACAAAAAAGACAGAGTAGGTGAATATTATCTTCTGATTATTAGCACTAGTAGCCCTTCATCTGGAGGTACCATATGAGAGCTTTCCTATTTCTTCTAATAGATAGTTCTTCAATAAATAACTCATTATTTATTTAGCTTGCAAACTCAAATCTGTGGCTTCACTTTCATTAGTTTTCTAGGAGGGAAGCCTGTATTAATTAGTCAGAAATAATTTTACTGTGCAAATAAAAAGTCATACTCATATATGACTACAGAAGACTTGTGCATCTTTGCCATTACAAGTGCACTTATTACTCCAATCCAAAATGGCTTCTAAAAACAGATTCAACTTACTTGAGGTCTTCCAGCTCTTCCAATCATTTGCAAAATATCAGTCTCACTGTATTCCTGAAACATTCCTCCAGCATAATGCATTGTTGATTTTATAATTACTAGGTGTGCTGGTAGATTTACCCCCATAGCAAGGGTACTAGTAGTAACTGCAAGCATTCAAATAATTCACTTATAACATTTATTTTCAAAAAGCAACAGACATGTAGTATTATGCTGTAGTATACTAGGCGCTCTCCTTTTCCGGGGAGATATGGCATAAGCTTAACAAATTATGTATCATGTGGAAAGAGTGGCTAAAGTGAAGTTTTTCTCCCTCTCATAATACTATAAAGAGTCATCCGATAAAGCTGAATGATCAAAGATTTGAGACAGTCAAAGGGAAATACTTCTTCACCTAGCACATGTGTAAACTATGGAATTTACTAACAGAAGGCATGGAGATGGTTAGATGGCCTTAAAAGGGATTAGACAAATTCACAGAGGATAAGGCTATCAATGGGTAATAACACGATGGCTATATGCTATCCTCAGGATCAGAGGCAGAATAGCTATTCTACACCTAATTCTACATCTATTCTGGTTTTATTGCATACAAATGGGACCTGCAAAAAATCTTGCAGTGTGGAGCACTCCTGTTTAGTGTTTCAGCCAATTAGTCATGCCTTTTCCCAAGATACCTCATTTTATTTTCTCACCCCATTTTTTTCCTGCAATGATCAGTCAGCAGTCCATACCCACTGATCATGCCAATTTCTTAAAGGTTTTTTTAACAGTTTTTTAAATCTCAGGATTCCTCTAAGCATGGTGATGCCTTCCTCTTGTCCATGAATTGTACCATTTTTTCTACACTTCGAAGATGACCTCACTATTATTATATGAACTACCCATCATTATTTATTCTACACTTTAAAAATTAAATAATATATAGCAGCAAATAATATTTTCTCTTTTACAAGATTATGACTACAGCTGCAATCAGCAAAGTGTTCTGGAGGTATGAACCCATTCATTGAAAATATATTATTTTCTTAAAATAAATAAGAACCCATTCATTTTAAGCAGGCTTACACCAGTACTGTATCATATCATATCAATGTCATTTGTGTATATCATGGGCTGCAATAGTGCACCTACTTAGCCTACTATTGGTGCTCAAATCTTAAAAGCCCAGAGTTGATTTAACAGTAGAATTTTGGGCAGAAAGCAAGTCCTTCTGATGAGACAACACTTACTATCTGCCAGAAAACCTTAGGTTATAATTTGAATACATTTAGAACTTATCGTTCTAGCTAATTATGACCATATGAATTAAAAATGAAAATCCAACTGATGTTACATTTATCTCAAGTGGACAACATTATATATTTGTTGTAAAATAACAGAAAACTGAGATCAACAATTCTTAAAGGTTTCATGAGAAATCTTTTTTTTATGGCAATTATTTATTATTTATTTGTTTAGGATATTTGTATGCCATCCTATTGCAAAAGCCTCAGGACGGCTTACACAAATAAAATACAAATATCTAACATAACATAAATTAATTAATGACTCACTCTGGCTGCAATTAAAATATGATGATAAAATTCAATATTAAAACTTATTAAAATATTGATTAAATAAAAAGGTCTTAACCTGGCGCCAAAAAACATATAATGATAGCGCCAGGTGGACCTCTCTGGGGAGCACATTCCATAGATGGGGTGCCACCGCAGAGAAGGCCCTCCTCCAGGTACTCTGTCTCCTAATATCTTTCACGGAGGGTTTCCAGAGGAGGGCTTCTGCTGCCAATCTCAGGGGCAGGAGAGCAAATAAGGAAGATGGCGTTCCTTTAGGTATCCTGGTCCCAAGCCATTTAGGGCTTTATAGGTAATAACCAGCACAATTAATTCATCACAATAGTAATCCTCCAAGGTAGCATGCGTGGACTTGTCCTATTTCATTTTTACAGTATCCCTGTGAGATGGATCAGACTGAGCAAATGACAGGAATTTGAATTTAGTTCTCCCTAGGTCATGCCCACCAACCTATACAATAGACTACAGAGGCTCTTCATTTTGATAGAAACCTATTACTGTTATTATTTATACTTATTAAACTAACATATTAAAAGTTTGTCCTTTCTAGCAAAGAACAACTTCTTTTTACTAAAAGTCCATCAAACTATTCACTTTTGTTATTTAACACTTCTTAAACACTTATTAAATTAATATAATCATAAGATACATCATTATCAGGATGGTCATGTTCATTTTTGCAAATAAAAACCTATTAAATTTTAGAATGCAGTTCTATGAAAATGAGTGTAAGTTCCTGAATTCAGGGACTCACACTCACCCAATGCAGACTGGGATAAATGGCAGTAGCAATCTTCACCTCTCTATTCCTCCCACTATGTATTTTCACTAGGTAGCTACTTTTGGCAATCTACTGTTAATGTATCAGAGGGAAAGAGGCTAGACAGAACCCAGGATACCTTGTATCTTAGCCTCCCCCATGTCTTCTCCTCCCCACTCCCAAAATGTCCCCTTCAACCAAGGTAACTTCACTGACTCCAGAGACCATCTGGTGCAATAAGGGGACAGGACAGGGAACTGGAGCTTTGACAGTCAGGTCTGAGGTCAGACAGCAATCTCTGAACTTGGTACTAAGAAGTCAAAAATCCTATGGCCCCTCAGATGACACCTATGGACCATGAGATCTTTCCCTCCAAGAACCAATATTGCATCAAAATTTTAAATTCTGAAATGCTTTGTACTCACAAAGAACTGGTATATCTCCTACATTAAAAGCTGTTTCAATAATTTTTCTATCAGAGACCTCTATTCCAGCATGATGATAAGCTACTCCACAGACCAAGAGATCTGCAAATAAATTTCAAACCAAAACATTATCAAATCATCTCACTGCACAAACAAAACCAAAAATTTCTCCCATTAGTACATGCTACATACCCCTCAGCCTGGCATCTTTTACTGAATTTGCAGACTTTTGTAATCTTCAAAAGAGGAAAGAGAAAATAGTAGAATATCGTTGTTAAGAAGACATTAAATACATTACAAAAACAAACTATGTTCAATGAATGCCACCATATGACCATATTGTAACCAACCATTTCATAATTGGACAGTGTCCAGTTCATATGCTCAAAAGGCAAACTATATTGCAACTTTTTCACCTTATCTGAACAGAACAAATGCCATGGATTGCTTGACTAGAAATGTATTTTTAATTAAAATTTGTTATGCAAATATAACAATCTGGGATTTCTCCCTAAGACATGTCAAACATACATTGGGAAAATCATGACTAAGGAAGCAATATTTTCTATAGCCCAATTAGCAGTATCCTTGACAGTTCAGTTTGCATTAATGTCTCAAAATGATGGGAATTATCTTAGATCAGAAATGAACATTCCATTCAGAGGTTCAGAAAAGGTTAGGAATATGATTTTCCCTGTTGCTTTTTACTGCCCCATGTCTCTTCTTAATCAATTATATCTTCTTTTTCTTCTCCCCTTTCCCTAGCTGTCTTCATGACATGCATCAGTAAAAAATGATTTTCTTTAGCAAATGAGTATGTATGAAAATATTTTGTTTGTTAGCCATCAGGCTTTAGGTCAAAAACAGATAGCAGTAATAATAGCAATAGATAACCATGATGTTTAGGCACTGCTCCTAGCTCAGCATATTGTCATGCCAGAATCACCATCTTCCTACTCTGCTGTAGACCTTCTGGGAACTATTCTGTACATGACAGTTTGTTCAGTCATCTTAAGGCCAGGTGGAAGCATGCTGATTTTTTTTAAAAAATGCTGCCTAAAATACTTTACAAACAAAATCATTTTACTCCACCTCTGTGGCCAGCCTACTTGCCTGGATTCAGAATAATACATTCTGGAAGAAGAAACACATTCAGACATGCACCTGCAGTTTACATTTGGATGCAAAACATCCTATGTGGCCCTATTTGTGCTATCAGGTGGTTGGGGGCCTTATGGGTATCACACTGTAAAGCAGATAGAGATTTCCAGACTGCACACTGGTAAAACATAAGGAATAATAAGAAATTTCTTGTGTAAGGAATATGAAACTACAGCACTACATACTAGTGGTTTTGTAGAACAAAGTTAACAGAAATGGCCTTTTATTATAATTGTGTGCAGACAGGCCATGTTTGGTATTCACATCCCAGTTGCTGATAGATTTATGCTACATATGTGCATGCCAATGTATACATATGGCCACATTTCATAAGCAGATTACAGAGGAAAGATTTACTCCAGAGTCTAAATAGTCAAGGAACCTGGTAAAAACATGAAGTTAATCATACAGTCACTGTGCTGGACCCAACAAATGGACTACTACTGTTGGAACAGCTGACCCCCAACCTTCTGAAGCAGATATGGGCCTTGCCAAGGGTGGGGGGAATCTGTTCTATTAGTTTCTGTTTTATTAGTGCAGCCTTCCCCAATCAGCATGGACAATGGCTAGAAAATACAGGAGTTCTAGTCAAACACATCTGGAGAGCACCAAGTTGGGAAGTCTGCACTAGTGAATGATCAGTATTGGACCCACCCCACTGTTAATTCATATTGCCTGAAGTATTGCTTGAAAAAATGTGTGACCCTCAGCATAATCATTTCTGGTGTTTAAATAGAATATTTAATTGTCTCACATTTCATTGGTTATTTACCCCCATCACCTACAAGCTATAAACTCTTGTGCTACTGATTTTATATCAGGTCTTTATAAAGAGGACATAGCTTATAACTTCATATGTTGTTGAATATCAACGTATACTAGGAGAAAGCCTGTATCATAAAACGTACCTTTGTTTCTGTTCTATATTCATAATAAATTTGACATCTTTTGCTAGTACAGAAGCAGCCTGCTGTACTCCTTTCCTTGTAGCACAAAACTGTAAATAAGAACATTCATGGTTTGGATTAATAATGCCAGAATGTACACAAGAACATTACAATTACAAAGGAAAAGCCATAGTACCACAAGAGTTGGCTTTTGTTCAGAATACGTTTGAATAACACTAGCAACTTTGTAGTTAAGTGTTAAATCAAATTTGAATTCCGTTTGGTTGCTGCTGCAAGGAAATCCAAGCACTATTTTGCGCAGCTTCACAGGGCGGTATCTTTCATCTACTTTCAGACATACAGCAGGCCTCTTGCCATCTGAAAGCCATTCTGCAATCTTAAAAGAGAAAATAAAGAACATTAGACTTGAAGCTAGAAAACCTGAGCTTAATTCCTGAAAATACCTTCTCAAGAGCAGCAGCATTTAATTCATGGAAGCTCCACAGGTACACATACTTTTAGGTGCTCTTTTCTGTTATGAATATACAATAATATAGTTGGTATAGTTAACACAATTTAGATCATTTAGGACGGTGGTGGCAAACCTATGGCACGCGTGCCGGTTCTAAACTAAAACCTCAGTATTCAGGTTTTATTGCAGTGTTGGCACTTTGTGATAAGTAAGTGGGTTTTGGATTGCAGTGTGGGCACTCGATCTCTAAAAGGTTTGCCATCACTGACTTAGGACGTGTAAATATATCCCAGGGGACTAGGCAGCTAAAGCCACCTTATCTCCTTTACATACTATGACAGCAGTAGTAATACAACAGAAGTTTCAATCATAACAGCTTTTGTCCCCTTTTTCCAGAAATCACTTTTCATGATCTTTGAGCTGACAGCAAGTTACAGCCCCTGCAATGTGCTGTTTGTGCACATTTTGGGCACAAACAGCACATTGTGTTGTCTCTGAGTTGACACCCCCAAGTGTTGAAGCAGCAAACTGAAGGGGTTGTCACTGGTTACCGCCTTTAAAAAAATTAAATTGCACAAATGTGTGCAAAAATTTTTTGTTAGTGTTTCATTTTTTGCTGGTTTTGTGCAACTGTGGAGGTACTTTTGTGAGGGTCTGAAGTAGGAAGTCTCCTGAACAATCCCCTCAGAGGTATCTGCCGTGAAAGCATAACAGACACAAATCATGGACATTGAGTCAAAGAGGCTGCAAGCTGATCCATTTTAAACTTTACACTATCTTAGCAGATGTGAGATGTCAAGGGAAAGCAAAGCTGCAAGTAATATTTGTTCATGAAAGCAAGCTGATAGATCAACCCCTTCACAGTGAGATCTTCCCAGTTTTTTGGCTAGATCTGACTCTTCTCAGTCCTTGTTCTTTTCTACCCTTTCCTGAAAATCAAGATGCTTGGGAAGTTAGAAAGTACAAGCCACCACATTTACTGGAGGGGTCAACTCCTGTATTGGAACAGAGCCACCTTAGTTGTTTGAATCGGAATCAGAACAGTGAAGGTTCTCCATAAGGAGGGTGGGGGGGTTCTTGTAGTGTATAGGCACAACAGAAGCATGTATGGCCCAAGTGTGAAATAACCCATGGCCTGGATCTATCACTAGAAGTTTTTAAAACTGATAAGGAAATCCAAGTTTACATGGTTTTTCAAAATAAAAATGAAGACAACTTTTAATGAGCCTTAAGTTTTCTTCAGCATTTTCCTTCATAGCATGGGCACTTCACATTGTCTCCTAGAGCTTATCTTCTTCCAAAAGGTTCTGTGTTGCTGAAAACAGCTATCAGTTTTAGACAAAAAAGTAAGAAGAACCCCATGCTAACAAAAATATAGCCACACCTTTGAATTTCTTGGTTCTTCTTTAATAAATAGAAACAGTCCAAATGGAGAATGGCTTGGGACAGTCAAAAATTATACTAAGTTCAACCTTTCACAAAGAACAAAGGGAAGATTAGAACTGCTTGTCAACAGTTTACCTTAAGCTTGTGAACCACCACCTCTCTTTTACCTTGCCTAATGCTAAAACTTTGGAATGAGACAGGGGCAGTTGGTGCTCCCAGCAGATCATCTTCTCTGAGGAGACCTTCTTGCCAAGAATGGCAAACATGGCATCACTTTCTTGCTGCAAATTATGGGACTTGCAGTTAGTACTAGTCACAGTGAGAAAAGACGCTCTGCTAACCTTTGGGAAGAAACAATGGCTGCAAAAAAAGTTTGAAAAATTGTGCAAAAGCATAGGAACACCTTACAAGCCTTTACCCTCACTCCTTTCAGATCAAAGAATCAACACTGGCACACTTCAGGACAGCATCAATATTGTCTATTTGATCAGCAGGGGCTCTGTTTTTCAGCGGATTTTCCATTTTCTTTTACCTGGAGATACCAGGGATTGAAACTTGAAGCATGCAAAGCATGGACTCTGGCAGTCAGCTAGGACTAATCAATAGGTTCTGGAATCAAATAATTAGAATGCCAGTGTTTAAGTTTGTTGGGTTCAGTAAATGGAGAATAATAATCTGGCAATAACAAAAATGGTTGCTTATCAAACACTGACTTTTAATTATCTGTCACAACAGTGAAATCAATGCACAAATACCAACATTTATCTTTTTGCCTTTGTCAGAGGTAGGTATATGCATGCACACATACGTCTGTAGCGGAAAAGAAAAAATGACTTTTTGAAATTTAGAAATGCAATCTCATTAACAGTTCTTACATCTTCTGCATTTGGGATTGTTGCAGAAACTGCCACAAATCTCATGGAAAGTATTAAGTCAGGATTCTCAAAGCCACACAAAAGAGAAGACTGAACAGTTTTCATCCGACTGACCACAACCTCAAGAGTAGCACCTCGACTCTCATCTTTCACAACATGTACCTATGGAATTATATGAGATTTGATTAACTTACCAGAGTTGGAGATAAGACAGTATAGCTTTGTGTGAAAGCTACCACCTATACCATGAGCAGCTATGTTAAGAGAAGAAACTTTTCATTTCTGCCAGAGCTGGGCTGCATGTCTTAAGGTTTGCATGAGGAAAACCACTGCAGATCCTGTAACTTGGGATATTCACTTTTTCCACAGAAAAAGCAAGCATGAACAAAGTGTATTTCAGGCAATACCATCGGCAATCCTGAATTCCAGATATTTAAGAATTTCTATAATGTAGAGAAAATGTGAGTACACAGTAGGGCAAACTGATAGTCTTTTTGATTCACTTCTATTTTGCCCATTGTACAGATAGTCCAGAGAGAAATTTGATTTCTGTTCCGTTACTTGCCAAAACTGGCAGAGAATTTAGTACAGAATATTATATTTCTTTTGATGAGTGTTCATAAAAGGGCTTTATTAATGAAGCAAAGAAGAACTGAGAGAATGTTATGATGGATTCATTTATATATTGTTCTTGCAAATATTTTATTTTTCTTCCTTTGTTTTATTGGTAATAGACTATGGCTATAAGCAATAAATTAATACAATTAAATAAAGTTGAATATGAAGTACTATGCTATGCTTTCAATCAATTTTGCTATGATTCATTTGTTATTGCTTTACCTCATCAATCAGGATCAGTCTCACTAGCTGAACTAAAGAGTTATCTCTCCACTTTCTAGTCATGCTATCCCACTTTTCCTAGATGAAAACATAAAATTATCATTATTATTATTGGTACAATCTATCATTATAGTTTTTCTATTAATTTTAATGGGTTTTTGTGAAAATATTGCTTGGTGATACATATTGTTTTTATTATTAGACTACAGCTATCAATCTGTATCTGTCAGGACCAGGGTCTGAGTGACCCTGCATGTACCTGCAGAACCAGGAGCAGCCTTGCAGGCTCTTGCAGGGAGCAACTGAAAAGCAATTATGTAGTGCAGCTGGAGGTCCTGCAGACTAGCATATAAGGCTTTCTGGCACTGATTCTTTGCCACAGCAACACAAGTAGTCTTCAGGACTCTCTTGTGCTCTGGTTTCTGCAACACCACACCTTGAGCGCCGCTCCAGCCCTGCTGCATCTGTTCCTGTCTTATTCCATTCTGCTCCTGCTTGCTCCAATTGTTCCTGCCTTGCTTCTGTTTGATCCTGTGTACCCTAGTCTGCTGTTGTTCTGCTCCTGTGTGTTCTTGCTTGCTCCAGTTGTTACTGCCCTGTTTCTGCCCACTCTTGTCTGGACCACCCTTACACGACTGTTTCCCCAACATCAGACCATTAGACTTTTTCTGGACTGTGCTCTCTCTCTCTCCTATACAATATTGGATTGCCTGCTACTTTGACCCTGACCCTGGACTGCTGACCACACCACCAGCCTCCAGCCCTGGTCCCAGTGTTCTGCCTGTCCCAACTGCAACCGATGTTCCAGCCCTTACAGTATCATGTGCAAAAGAAAACAGTTCTAACAAGTCCCTCTTACAAGTTAAAGCTATTTTTATGCAAAAAACATAGCGCAAATTCCAAATAATGTCATAGTAATCCAAATTTCTGTATAATTTCTGTAAAATTTGGATTATGCTGACACTATTAATGTGCATAACAATTTGCACAGAAGAGAAACCTGACAAACAGTGCTACATGAAACAAAAACAGAGACTGCTTACAGGTTGATAAATTGTAAGCCAATCTTCCCCAACCCAGTACCCTCCAAATAATCTGGACAACTCTGCCCAGTATTCCTGACCATGAGCCATACTGGCAAGAGTTGATGAGAGGTGAAGTCCAAAACATCTGGAGGGTGGTAGGTTAGGGAAAGCTAATCAAATTTACTGCTGCAAGTAATATTTTTTTCAAGCAATCCAGAAGTTTTCCAGTACTTTCCTACTGTTAGAAACTGAAAAATAAGTACATACTCAAGTAATACTAATTGTATGAAATTATAAGTATCTTGCATTAAAAACTGAGGCAGAGTTAGCTGCTAAGTACTGTGAAACCTACTGGTGTAGTCAAAATTATGTGGGCATGCTGTATTTCAAATAAATCATCCATTGCAGTATCCCCTGTTAGTTCCTTACAGATGAGTCCAATGGGTCCAAATTTTTCTTTCCAGTCATCAAAACGCTGACTGCAGAGAGCTTTTATTGGAGCTACTAAAAACAATACAGAGTAGTCGGGGGGGGGAACAAGACAGGTTTGAACAGATCTTCGAACATATCATGTACAATGATCAGATTTTTCAAGCAAAACAAAAACTCTACCATTCTTTTCTTACAAGTTAAGAACAGCATTCTTAGCTTACCTAAGCTGAGAAGATACACCAATTCTAACCACCAGTGAGGGAAGAGCAAGTTTTTTTTTTTAAGCATACCACCAGTATTTGCTCTAGCTGGCATGAAATCAGCAAGATTTGGAGAATGGCATTTCCTCTACCATGAATGTGGCTCCCTCCCCATCATATTGCTCTGTATTTTTTTTTCACCTTCACTTTGTGGAATATAAATAGATAAATATTTAGAATACAAATAGGCAAAGATGCAGTACAGAAGCTCACTGGGGTTCTAATTCCTGCTCAAAGTTTGTTTTGCCTCATCTGGGTTCTCAAACAGAAGTATATTTTATTTAATCATGAACAGTGTGTATTTTCATTCAGAAAAAGTACGTGTGTACATTTCCCTCCACCATAGGTTAAAGTGTGAACATGAGGATTTAGGAAGAAATGCACATTTGCACAAGTGCATATTTTTGGAAATATGAAAATATTAAAACATGAAAGTAAGTTGTTCAAATTACAAAAACTTTCTGAGAGTCTCACTGTCTGCATTTGTATCTGGGATTGTGAAAAGAACAAGTTCACAGGATTTGCAAACAGAAATGAAATTCTTGTAATTTTATCCTCTTGCAAATAATAAAAGCTTACTAGCTCTTTGGATAGAGTAAGCAGAATTATCTTACCTTTTGAAGGCAGAATGGCATATTGTAGTGGCAAAGGTGCAGTTCCTATATTTATCTTTTCTAAACAAAGTGAACGCAGGATATAAAATGTCAGTGTAGTGTCTCTAACTAGAACGCCCCAGTTGTCAGCAACTGGCACCTTATCTCTTGTGGTTCTGCTTCTCTACAGAAAACTTAGCTAACTAAGCACTGACTAAGCACTGCAGTACAAGGCTGCTGGATACACATAATTACAATAACTATCAAATATGCCACAGGCCAATCTCTTCTTATCTAGGCTGGTTAAGCCCTGATCAGAGCTGGCTTGTAATTATAATTACAATTATAATTGTAAGTTGTTCCCACACACAAATAGCAACAGCAGACTCCTGGTGCCTTGCCTCACTTTGCTTTACTCCACTGTTTTCTCTGGTACTCAACTTCCAAGCTGGAACTGGCCCTTTGCCCTGTTCCAACTATGCCTCTGTCTCCTTGGGCCATGATCGACTTCTCCAGCCTATTTGGACAACTCCTTTGTTTTGGCACCTGACAACCAGAAGCCAGTTTCAGCCAAGCCCTTATACTGGACAAGGGGTTTTTAAGAGAAGATTGGCAGGCAGGGTGTGCTCAACACTTTTGGACTTCCCTGCAACTTCTACCCCACCCCCCAGCAAATTTCCTTACAACCACCTTCTTCTAGTCTCAAAGCCCAGACAGACAGTAAAACCTAGGGAGTGCAAAAGTCATCCAGCACTGTGTTGGTATCATGACAGAAACATAAAGTTGGTAATCCCATGCATCCTTGTCATGGCCAGTTCTGCATGTGCAGTCATATAGAAAGGAAGCAAACAGCATGGGACCTCAATACTGCCTCAGGGAGGTTTATCTGAAACCTCAGACAGGTTTCACACTGAGACTAACTCACTAGGTAAAGACACACAACAGCAACACACATTGCAAATCAAAAATAAATCCTTTGGCAACGTGTAAGCACACATTTATTGTTGCTGCCATAATTCTACACCCAATAACCAAAAATAATACAATCTACCTAACAAAATATGAATGAAATATTTGTCTTCTTGATTGTTAATAATAACAACAACTCTTCAACATATGGCATACTTACAATAGATAATTTTAACATTTGACCAAGGCATTGGCACTTTAATTAACAACCTGGTAATTGCAAGCTCAAATATTACAGTTTTTCCAGAACCAGTTGGTGAACAGATCACAAAATTCCTGTCTGTGTAAAGAAGCTAGAAAATAATAATAAATAGTAAATGGAGCACAAAGCAAGTGCATATATTTTGCCTAAAACACTTGGAAAATTTTGCAAACACTTATCACTTCTATATAGGTGCACATTTCACTAAATCACAGCTGATGCAACCTTCCACATTTTTAATTATTTTTTTCTGTATTAGATGTGAACTTTTTTACTTTACACAAGAGAAAAAAAGTAAAATGGGATGAAGTCTTTTTCCTTAGTATCTGCTACTGAGCAATTACAAAGAATATATGATAAAACTAGGAACTTATGTTACAAAGACTGTGATAGAGTTGCTATCACAAAAGCCATCACTGAAGGAAGGAGCACACATAATCTATGAAAATATGTAGTAGAATTTGTTCTTCAGTAGCATTTTCACAATAAATTCCAAGTAATCGTCCTCTAGCCATGCAGCCACTATTATTAGTTGCACAGTGTGCAACCTTATATATGGCTACTCAGAAATAAGTTCTATTGACTCCAAAATGGCTTATTCAAGACTTCACCAGTCTGGTGCCCTCCAGATGCTCTGGGCTTCAACTCTCAGCAGCCCTAGACAGCCTATGACCAGGAATCCTATACTTCCAGTTACACAGGTATAGGATTGCACCCATGTGCACAAAGTTCTGTTATAAGGAACATAACAGTTTAAGTATATATAACTCTGTTATCAAAATAACATCATCCTCTTTAAAAGGTTTGCAGCAGGGGTGGGAAACTTCAGGTCTGGGATCCGTACAACTCTCCTTGAGTCCAGCTTCTGTGCCATTCTTTTCTCCCATTCCAAAGGGTTAAAATGCCTCTCAAAATGTATTTCCTACCCTTTTCAGAAAACTGAAAGGTTTAGTTATTGAGAGTAGAATCTTTAAGATACAGCATGCTGGATGTATTGGCCTCATCTACCACCAGAATGAAGCTTCTGAGAGCTTTTCCAAAATTCAGTTCAGTCCTTGAACTGAAAGTTTCCCCATCTCTGGTATATATCAAGCTCTTTTTGAATAATGGTATAAATTGCAGTATAAATCATGAGAACAGCTAAACAAATCCAATAACTAATCTGCTCATGTCATGCCACCTGGATCTGGACACCCCCTGGACCAGGTTTCCTGTCCTTCAGAGTCCAGACCTGGAGTCTTTTAAACACTGCCACCCAAAAAGAACCTATTGACCCCTCAGCAGTCTGCTGTGAGAAGTTTTCCCATTATTTTGAGGATAAAATTGCTCATATCCATTGCAAATTGGATGCCACAGTCACTGCAGTATTGCCTTTGGAGATGTTCATTGCACTATCTGATCCATCTTTGCTGGATGAGTTTCTGCCTTTGCACCCGAAGATGTGAACAAGATGCTTAGCCTAGACCAGCATACCACTTGCTTGTTCAACCTTTCCAATCTTGGCTTATTGGAAGTTCTAGGGAGGGGATCCACACCTGAGTCCTGGAGGCTGTAAATACCTCCCTGCAGAAGGGAATGGTGCTGGCTGCATTGAAAATGGCCATGGTTACAGCACTCCTAAAAAAAAAAAAACCTAATCTGGATCCAGGTGTCATGGATAATTATACACAACAGCCAGTGTCCCTTTCCTGGGCAAGGTGATTGAGTGTGTAGTGATTGTGCAAATCCAAGCTCTCTTGGAGGAAAAAGATTATCTTAATCCATTTCAGTCCAGTTTCAGGCCTGGCTTTGGGACTGAGACTGCCTTGGTCGCCCTGTGGGATGACCTTTGCCAGGAGAGAGACAGGAAGAGTGCAACCCTGTTGATTCTCCTGGACCTCTTAACAGCTTTTGATGCCATTAACCATGGTATCCTTCTGGAGCACCTAGCTGGGTTGGGAGTTGAAGGCACTGTATTGCGCTGGCTCTGCTCCTACCTGGGGTACGAACTCCAGATGTTGGTACTGGGGGATTATCACTCTGCATCTTGGCATTTATGTCATGGAGTACCGCAGGGTTTGATTTTATCCCCCATACTTTTTAACATCTACATGAAACTGCTGGGAGAGGTCATCAGGATGTTTGGGATAAGTGTTATCAATATGCTGATAACACTCAGCTCTATCTCTCTTTTTCAGTTGACCCAGGTGTGGTGGTCTTTGCCCTTAACTGATATCTGAACTCAGTAATGGATTATATGAGGGCCAATAAGCTCAAGCTCAAACAAGACAGAAGTACTGTTGGTGAGTAAACCTCAAGTTCAACTGGAAGATTGTAAACCTGTCCTGGGCAGGGCTGCACCCCCCCACCTCAAAGGACCAGGTTCATAGTCTGGGGGTGTTCCTGGACCCTGAACTCTCCCTGGTCACCCAGGCGGACTTGGTTGCTAGGAGCACCTTTTATCAGCTTCAGCTGATTTACTAGATATGCTCCTACTTGGATGAGGGTAGTCATTCATGCACTGGTAACTTTCAGACTGGGTTACTGCAATGAACTATATGTAGGGCTTTCCTTGAAAACAGTCCAGACTCATCAAATGATGAAGAATAGGGCAGCATGGTTGCTAATAAGGACTGGCTCTTATGAACATATTACACCTGTCCTTCGTCAGCTGCTTGGCTGCCTTTTCCCATCCAGGCTAAATTCAAGGACTTGACCAAAGTCATATAAAGCTCTAAATGCCTTGTCTTAGGGGGCACCTTACTTCATATATTCCTGCCCATCATTTAAGGTCATAAATGAAGGCCCTCCTACAAGTCTTTGCCCCAAAGGAGGTTAAGGGGAGGTTGCAAGGAGGGCTTTTTCTGTGGTGGCACCATAGCTATCTAATATGTTACCATCAGAGCCAGCACCTACACTCTGCTGAGTTTAAAGTGCCTGGCAAAAATGTTCCCTTCCTTTCACACTTATGGTACCACTTAGATGTTATTTACATCAATTGCACTAGTTTTAATTTACTAACTTACATTTTATTGCTTTTGATTATTTGTTATTTCATTTTGTGCATTTTAATTGTATTATTTTATTTATGTTACCTATTGGTAATTTTATTGTAACTGCTGCCCAGAAAGCATGATGGTAATGGGTGGTCATTAAACAAAATAAACAAATAAATAAGTAAATATACTCAATAACATTAGTAATGTTGGTTGGTACAGTGATTAATACACTTACCTTACAGGGTAATCCTATGCACACTTATTCAATGTTCACCAATGCTAACTCCCAGGTAAGTGTGCATAGGATTCCAGCCATGAGTATATATTCAATTTGGCAGCACAACAAGCTAAGGTTCACATCATTGATCTCATACCACATACTTTCTCCAGTCCCAGGCAAACAGCAGGAACAGAAAGTTTGTTGAGCCTCTAGGACACTGCTATCTTGTCAGGTCACGAATTAAATATGCTGAGTTTATAGGAATGAGGATTTGGTTGCATTAATCCTACTTAGAATAGTTTCAAGGAAATGAATGGAATTTAAATAGGACATTGGATACAATTCACATTTTATGAAATTGGCAACAAAGATCACTGCCTTGTCATGGCAAAGGGGCTTGCGTAGCTCAGTGAAGCTATGAGCTATGCCATGCAGAGCCACCCAAGACGGACAGGTCATAGCAGAGAGTTCTGACAAAACGTGATCCACTGGAGAAGGAAATGGCAACCCACTCCAGTATCTTTGCCATGAAAACCCCACGGACAGTACCAAAAGGCAAAAAGATATGACGCCGGAAGATGAGCCCCTCAGGTCGAAAGGTGTCCAAATTGCTACTGGGGAAGAGCAGAGGGCTAGTACTAGCAGCACCAGAAAGAATGAAGCGACTGGGTCAAAGTCGAAAGGACACTCAGTTGCAGATTTATCTGGTGGTGAAAGGAAAGTCTGATGTTGCAAAGATCTATACTCCATAGGAACCTGGAATGTAAGATCCATGAATCAAGGCAAGCTGGATGTGGTCAAACAAGAGATGACAAGACTGAACATCGACATCTTAGGAATCAGTGAACTAAAATGGACAGGAATGGGTGAATTTAATTCAGGTGACCATTAGGTATACTACTGCAGGCAAGAATCCCTCAGAAGAAATGGAGTAGCCTTCATAGTCAATAAAAGAGTAGGAAAAGCAGTACTGGGATACAATCTCCAAAATGACAGAATGATCTCAGTTTGAATCCAAGGCAAATCATTCAACATCACAGTAGTCCAAGTCTATGCCCCAACCACTGGTGCTGAAGAGGCTGAAGTTGACCTACAACAACTTGAAGGTCAACAACAACTTGTTCTATGAAGG